GATAAGTTCTATTATGCTTTTTCTGATGAATGAAATATGATAGATAACTATGCTTATTCTGAGGGTGGTAGAATATGAGTTATGTGGAGGAAACAATGGTCATTCTCTACCTTGAGGGCTAATGACCAGTCTCTAACTATTTTTGGAGTTGTTAATGGCCACAGGACTTTGATCACTGCTATTTATGGCAGTAACAGCAGGGTTGCCAGGAGAGGGCTTTGGGATCATCTAAAGAATTTGGATAGTGAGGTTGGTTCCTCTCCATGGGTGGTTGGAGGGGATTTTAATGTTACCCTTCGAGCTGATGAGAGCTCTGATTTTGAGATTCTGAGTGTTCATAATTCCCCTGATATGGAGGATTTTCAAGGCTGTTTGGAGGAACTGGACCTCTTGGATCACCCATTCTTAGGCCCTTCTTTCACCTAGTCTAATAGGCAGGATGATGGTTTCTTAGCTTGTAAACTGGACATAATTTTGGTCAACCATCCTTGGCTGTCTGTTTACCCTGATTCGTTTGTAGAATTTAAGGCACAAGGTGTTTCTGATCATTGCCCTGGTGTGATTTGGACTCAGAGGGGTGCCTTGGCTAGAAGGCCTAAACCTTTCAATTTTTTCAACTGCTGGTCCTCAAGTGCTGATTTTTTGGGTATTGTCAAAGAGTCTTGGATAGTGCAGTGTGCTGGGAACCCTATGCAAAGGCTATTCCTAAAACTGAAAAGACTAAAGCTCAAATTGAAGAATCTCAACAAGGAGTAGTTTTCTGATATTTCAAACAGGGTACTTAGTAAAAGGACTGACTTGGAAAGAATTCAATTGATCAACCTAAGTCATACTAATCAGAGGAACATTGAGGAGGAGAGGAGGATCCATGCTGAATTGGTTGATTTGGAGGTTGCAGAATCTGAATTCTATAGACAGAGGGCTAAGGTGCATTGGTTGAAAGAAGGTGACCTTAACACTAAGTTTTTTCATCAAAGAGTTGAATCAAATAAAAAGAAAAATACTATCAAGGTTTTAGTAACTCAAAATGGACAGTTCTTGGACTCTTTTGATGACATGGCTGATGAGTTGGCGAGTTTCTTCACTAATCTCATTGGTACTGCAGATCCAATGGTTAAAAGCCCCCCTATGGAGTGTCTGAAGGAGTTGCTTAACTTCTCTTTGCCTGATGGTGCTGAAGCTATGCTTACTAAGGAGGTGAAGGACAAGGAAATTAAGGAAGCCTTATTCAGACAAGGCAATGGTAAAAGCCCGGGCCCTGATGGGTACTCTTCTTGGTTTTTCAAGGCTACCTGGGATGTGGTGGGTTGTGACTTCTTAGCTGCAATAAGGTTCTTCTTTCTTTCCTCTTCCTTGCTGCCTGCATTTAATGCAACAACTATAGTCTTAGTCCCTAAGGCCCTGAATGCTTGTATGGCCAAGGAGTTCAGGCCCATTTCTTGTTGCACTGTAGTGTACAAAACCATCACTAGAATCATCACTACTAGATTGTCTCTTATTTTTCCTTGTATGATCTCTCCTAGTCAGACTGCTTTTGTAAAGGGTAGGAACATTGTTGATAATACCTTACTAGCTCAGGAAATAGTCAAAGGTTATTCTAGGAAGAGTCTTTCTCCTAGATGTGCCATTAAGATTGACTTGCAAAAGGCATTTGACTCTGTGGATTGGAATTTTATGATGATTGTGCTTGAGGCTATTGGTTTACCTTTGAGATTCTGCTGTTGGATAAGGGCTTGTGTTACTTCATCTCAATTTTCAGTTTCCTTGAATGGCAGTCTTGTGGGCTTCTTTAAGGGGGCTAGGGGGGTTAGGCAGGGAGACCCACTATCCCCTTATCTCTTTGTCATGGTTATGAATGTTCTCTCTTCTTTGTTGGATGCTTCTGCAAAAAAGGGAATTTTTAGATATCACCCTAAATGTAAGAGGGTTTCTCTTACACATATGTGTTTTGCTGATGATCTTTTGGTGTTCTGCCATGGCTCTTTGGACTCTGTGTTGGGGGTTTTAAGTACTCTAGAGGCTTTCTATGATCTATCTGGTCTTAGGCTTAATGCTCAGAAAACTGAGCTCTTTGCTTGTGGCTTAACTGACCCTGTTCTCCAGCTAATTCAATCTGGTACTGGATTTAAAGTTGGGATGCTTCCTGTTAAGTATCTTGGGGTACCTCTGGTCACTAGAAAGCTTTCTTATAAGGATGCTCTGCTCTATTGACTAAGATTAAAGAGAAACTTGGCAAATGGTCTGATAGGAAGCTGAGCTATGGGGGCAGGCTTCAGCTCATCAAATCTGTCCTATTTAGTGTCTTTAGCTACTGGAGTAGGCAACTCATTTTGCCTAAAAGGGTCATAAGAGATGTGGAAATATTGTGCATGAGATTCTTTTGGAAAGGTAGTGATTCCTCAGCTAGAGGTGCCCGGGTCAGCTGGAACCAGATTTGCTCCCTGAAATCTGAGGAGGCTTGGGGTTAAGAAGTCTGACTGACTAGAGTAAAGCTTGTTGCCTCCTATTTATCAAAAAAAATATTGGCAGGTGATGGTTCTCTCTGGATTGCTTGGTTAAATGCCTACTGTTTCAGAACTGTTGATTTCTGGAATGTTGAATACAAGGCTCACTTTAGTTGGATCATGGCTAGGTTGCTTAAGATGAGGAATGAAGCTGCGAGTTTATTATGCTCCAACAGTAATTGGGATCAAATCAAAGCCAGCTGGATATGGGATAAGATTCGAAGTAGGGGTGAAAAGGTTTGCTGGCATCGCCTTGTATGGTTCCCTGGTCATGTTCCAAATTTTTCTCTGATTACATGGATGGCAATCTTGGATAGATTGCCTACAAAAGACAGATTAACTATATTTGGTATAGTTACAGATGGTGTTTGTGGTCTGTGTAGTTCTGGTTTGGAAACCCGTAATCATATATTCTCTGAGTGTACCTTTGCAAATGAAACTTGGTGTGCTATCTTGCTTCTGTGTGGCCTTAACCGGGCGTCTCTTGGATGGAATGATCTTCTGCAATGGTTGTTGCTGAATCTTAAATGCAAATCCTTGCTGGTGCATATGCTCAAGTTGGCCTGGACTGGTTTTATCTACTGCATTTGGGAGGAGCGGAATCGTAGGCAGTTTCGAGGGGTGCATCGCTCGGTTGATACTGTTGTTAGTTGTGTTAAAGAATCTGTGAGAATTAAATTGTATAGGAGCCCCATGAATAGAATTGATACTGTAAATAGACAATTGTGTATAGATTGGGGTCTGATATAGTGGCTTGTTTTGTTTGTAGCAGCTTGGGTGCATTCTTTTGGATAAATGCAATTCTACTTATCCAAAAAACATATTACAAAACAATGATGTTGTCTTGTCTGAGATTATATCATTACATTTACATATAATACATATATAGAAAATAATTTAGTACACTATTTTTCAATGAAATATCTATTAAATTTAATGGAGTTAAAACTCTAAATTAATAATATTGTAACTTAAAATACGACATTATGATTATTTTATTTAAATTTTTAAAATTAAAATATCTTACTGACTAATATATCAGACAGAGACGTAATATATAAATGCTTTAATCAACAGGTCGTGTGTTAAAGTTGGTACAACTACAAAGTAACAATACAAGTACTGTCTTCAGTTGCATCAGTAAAACAGCTTATTTCTCTATGAATATGCTATATGAATATTCTATTTTTTTCAAAAGTTTTTTTTAAATTATCTATCAATTAAGTTGTATTTATTAACTAACTACTGATATCAAAATAATCTTATAATAATATCAGAGACGGGGCTAGAGGGAGCACAACATGAGCGACGGAACAGAGGCCCGGAATAACAAGGGACCCAAAAAAATTAGATTTATTATAATAAAAATTTGTAAGGGTCTCGGAATAGCAAGGGCCTCTTTTTAAGAATTTGTACAGGACTTCCAACATCCTAGCCCCGGCTCTGAATAATATTAATTAATAATTTAAAAAAATTAATAGTCTATTTTTTTCAATGAATCTTGACATCGATTTAACCACAATCTCATATCGTGCAGCTTCTCTGCAGTCAGCGGGTGCTCTATCGTGCTAGGTGGTTGCTGTAATATGTGGAGCTTAAAGGGCAGGCCCCATGCCATATATAACATTAATCATACATTATTGCATCAACAATGTAGATGAATGAAAATATTTTATATAAAAAATTATTTTTAAAAATTAATTGACAGATTATTATAAATAGAGTGATAAATAATTTATAATTAAATTTATTAATATCGTGCTCAAATCATAAATAATGGTTTTTATCCTCTTATATAATTATTATGTTAAAATATATTTCAAGTATATGTACTCTTTGTATATTTGAAATTTAATCTTCGTATTTTTGTCTTCAATTATTCAATCCTTCTGTTTTTTAATTAAAAAAGTAAACTTAGGCACGAATCAAACGATTTAGATGATTAAATAGATGATTATTATCTTTAGAGGTATCGGATTCGAGCATAACGTCTACATAACATCATTTTTTATTACACAATGGTCCAATTAGTATTGTTTATCAATAGTGATCTGATGACTTCAAAATGCCGATTCGGTATTGAATAGCTTTGGGTTTGGTCGGTTCGGTATTGAATGGACAAGGATCCAAGTCATCCAACTCTCAAAAGTCAACCTCCTCTTTCATTGCAATGGAGCCTACTAATATGCTGTAGATTTGACCTTATGAGTTTATATTATATTTTATTCCATGTTGTATCATAAATCACTTGTAAGCTATTCATCCATCGTAAATGGCCAGCATTCTCTCATTTTTCGTCTCCATATCCATCACTATCTTCGTACTCTTACGCACGGCTGCAGCAAGCTTCAACGGCGATCAATCTGTTCTTCTCGAATTCAAAGCTCTTATCACTTCCAATCCTCATAATATCTGGCCATACAATTGGTCCTCGGCCACCGGAGTATGCAGCTGGGCCCGCGTTTCTTGTGGTTTTAGTGGTCGAGTCATGGCCTTGAATCTTTCCAACATGAACCTGCACGGCGCTATCCCGCCACCCTTGGGAAACCTCTCGTTTTTGTTGGCTCTCAACATGAGTGGGAACTGTTTTAGTGGCGATTTGCCATCCGAGTTGGCCAACTTGCATGGCTTGGAACTCATGGACTTGAGCCACAATGAGCTTAGTGGTGAAATTCCTTCATGGTTTGGCAACTTAACCGAGCTTCAACATCTAAGTCTCCTTGGTAACAACTTTATAGGAAGTATACCCCATGAGATTGGTATGCTTCAAAAGCTGAAGAGTCTTCGTCTGAGAAACAACCTGCTTTCGAATCCGATTCCACCATCATTCTATAATATTTCATCCTTGGAAGTTGCAGATTTCATGTTTAATAATATCACAGGAAGTATATTGAGCAATATTGGGAACTTAACTAGTCTCAGAGAACTATATCTTGCAGCAACAGATATTGCAGGTGAAATTCCTAGGGAAATCGGTAATCTTCGTGATTTGCGAGTATTTGATGCCGGAAATACGAGCCTTACCGGTTCCATTCCGGCAAACATTTTCAACATATCGTCGTTGAAGTGGATATATCTAGGAAACAATAAGCTTTCCGGTACTCTCCCAATTGACATATGTTATAACCAGTCAAGGCTTGAAGTTCTTTTCTTGGCCTTAAATCAGTTAAATGGTGAAGTTCCTTCGGGCTTAGACGGTTGCCACGAGCTTCGGTATCTCGACTTATCCGTAAACAGATTCACAGGACGAGTCCCGCATAGCATCGGAAACTTAACCAGTCTTCGGAAACTATACTTGGGGGCTAATGAATTGAGAGGTGAAAAACAGACAACTAGAGAACTTGTTTTATCATATTGGTGTTTGTTCATTAGTCATTACCAATGACTTTATCTAATCTCCTGCAGGAGAAATCCCATGGGAGGTAGGCAATCTTCTGAATTTGGAGGTGCTGGACATCGGAGAAATGGGGCTCACCGGTCTCGTTCCACCGTTATCTTCAACATGTCTTCTTTGAAGACGATTCACCTCGCAAACAATAGTCTATCCGGTAGCCTCCCAAGAGATATATGCCTTGATCTTCCAGCACTTGAATGGATTAATTTTCATAGAAATAAACTCACTGGAAGTGTTCCAAGGAATATTGGCAACTGCAGTTTCCTCCACACTATAAGTTTCGGCAAAAACGGTCTCAGTGGTAACTATATCCTTTCCGTATATAACTCCTTTTCGGGCATATTCGACTGCAAATTACAGCATGCTGATTAAGATGCTTGTATATATGTTTTCATGGTGGTAACAGGACAAATACCAGAGGAGATTGCCAACTTAAGACATCTTAGACATTTGCATATTGGGGGAAACAACTTGACTGGTTCGATTCCACCGAAGATATTCAACATGTCAACCATAGACTTCATTGCATTACATTTAAATAGCCTTTCGGGACATCTTCCTTCGAGCACCGAGTATCGGCTTCCGAAACTTACACTCCTAGTCCTAGCTCAGAACAAACTCAGTGGCAAACTCCCCAGCTGCATCACCAATGCTTCGACACTCAAGGACATAGAGCTCGGCCACAACTCGTTCTCCGGCATCCTTCCGAGTTCCTTTGGAAGTAATCTAAGACTCCTCGAGTGGCTCAGCCTCCAATATAATAATTTTACATTCGAATATTCCAGTCCAGAAGATAGTTTTCTCTCTTCTTTGACGAACTGCAGATTATTGTGGCATATAAGCATTGAATCTACTGCATACCGCGGTGTCCTTCCGGCTTCGATAGGGAATCTCTCGAACTCGCTTTTATACTTTTACGCAGGTGGTTCCGAACTAAAGGGTAAAATTCCGATGGAAATCGGAAACTTGAGCCGTCTGATAGAGTTTTCGGCTTGGAATAATGATTTGGTTGGACCTATTCCAGCAGCTGGAAGATTACAGCGGCTTGAAGGTTTATTTCTATATGGAAACAAACTGCAGGGATCGATCCCAAACGACCTCTGTGAGTTAAAGATGATATATAATATATCACTTCATCGTAATTTACTTGATGGTTCAGTGCCAGCATGCTTTGATAATTTGACTGCTTTAAGATATCTGAACTTAGATTCCAACAAACTGAGTTCCAACATTCCATCGACCTTGTGGACACTTTCGAATCTGTTGGAACTCAATTTGTCATCGAATTTTCTCAGTGGCTCTGTCCCGTTAGATGTTGGGAACTTAAAGGTTTTGATCAGCATGGATTTATCCAGGAATCAGCTGTCAGGTAACTTGCCAAGCACCATTAATGGCGACCTCAACGGTTTGATTTATCTTTCATTTGCAGAGAATTCATTGCAGGGTCCAATTCCTGAATCTTTCGGGCATTTACTTAGCTTGGAGTTCTTGGATCTCTCGAGAAACCAACTTTCTGGAGTGATTCCCAAGTCCATGGAGGCGCTCTCCCATCTCAAATACTTGAACGTCTCTTTCAATAGACTCGATGGTGAAATCCCGACAGGAGGACCGTTCCAAAACTTGTCAGCCGAGTCGTTCGGGTCAAACGAAGCTCTTTGTGGTTCGCCTCGACTTCAGGTGCCACCATGCAAAGCTAGCTCCCATCACAGATCGAAGGAGGCGTCGGTTCTTGTGCTGAAATACATCTTACCATCTATAGCATCTGCAATGTTGCTACTGACCCTTATTGTCATCCTTATGAGACACCGTAATTCGAAACTAAAGGTTCCGAATCTAGAAACTCCATTGCCACTGGCAACATGGAGAAGAATTTCTTATTACGAGCTTCGAGTTGCAACAGATGGATTCAACGAAAGTTGCTTGATTGGTACCGGAACTTTTGGCTCGGTTTATAAAGGCACTCTATCAGATAATACAACGGTTGCAGTAAAAGTTTTCGATCTACGTATATATCGAGCATTCCAGAGTTTTGATTCAGAGTGTGAAGTAATGCGGTCCATTCGCCATCGAAATCTGGTTAAAGTCATTAGCAGTTGTTCCAACGAGAATTTCAAGGCTTTGGTACTCGAGTACATGCCGAATGGGAGCCTTGAAAAGTGGTTATACTCTCATACTTCCACTCTAAATATTGTACAAAGACTCGACATAATGATCGATGTTGCATCGGCTCTTGAACATCTTCATCACGGTCATCAAACACCGGTGATCCACTGCGATATGAAACCCGAAAACGTGTTACTCGACGAAGGTATGGTGGCTCATGTGGGTGACTTCGGGATTGCCAAGCTATTAGGAGAAGGAGAATCCATGAAACAGACCATCACAATGGCCACAATTGGTTACATGGCACCAGGTGATCATTCTCTTTCCAAACTAAAATCTGCAATCGATTTTTCGTGATTAACTCGAATGGGTTTCTGTGCAATTTGTTGCAGAATATGGAACATCAGGGATCGTTTCTACCGAAGGCGATGTGTATAGTTTTGGCATATTACTTATGGAGATGTTGACACGAAAGAAGCCTACCGATGAAATGTTTACCGACGAGTTAAGCTTGACGGATTTCGTGAAGGAGTCGTTGTTTGATTCTCTAACGAACGTTATCGATGCAGCTATACTCCAGGAAGGGGAGGTACATTTTACTGCAAAAGCCAGTTGCATATCGTCAATGCTAGAATTGGCCTTGGATTGTTCAGCAGAGTCACCTGACAGAAGGAGAAAGATGGTAGATGTTGTGGCCGAACTCAAAAAGATCAAAATCAGGTATCTAAAAGATGTACAAAGACCGGTAAGATGAATCCTGCACGTTATCAAATAGTAATAGTTAGATAAGTTTAAGGATTATTTTGTAATAGTTTGATAAATTTACTGATCATCTTTTAACACTTTCATAAATTTTAATGATTATTTTGCAACTGTTTAAGAAGTGTAATGACCATTTTGTAATACATGAAAAGTTTCTGACTAAAATATCATTTTGATATAGTTCAATGAACATACAAATGTATTTTGCCCAAAATGGGTTTATTTTTCCTTAGTCACTAATCTCTTTATTTTTTAAAATTCATCTCCTCTTTTAGTTTTAGGAAATTTAGTATTCTTTCTTTTTTCTGATTCAAAAATTAAAGTTCAATGGATATCATTATTAATTTACTCTTGTTGAATTGATATGACGACATCTAGTGGCGAATGTATATATATTTCAAGGTGAGAAGGTGTTCACTCTAAGATTTGAATTTTTCTAATATATATTTTTTTGAATCGATACACTATCTAATTTTTTTTTACATTAAATTATAATAAATAATAGAATTCGAGGGTTAAAATTATTATTCAAATTTTATTAAATATCATATCATATACCTTAATATTTTTAATGAAAACGAAATAATTTGTTATTTATTTAAAACTGGTGACCAGTTTATAATTTTTTATAGTATAAATACTCAACAAACAATATCCCTATAATCATGAGACTATTTGCATATTGTACCCTTTGTTTCCAAGCATCCAAATCTCTCGCCAAACCCTAAAACCAAAGAAAAAAGTAATAAGCCTTCTATATAAGCAGCGGCAACATCATAGAAGCAAATTCTGGCGGCCAGCGGAAACCCTAATTTCCCGGTAAGCATACATCTTTACTTCATTTATAATTCTCGATCAAATATTATTTCAGCGTAGTAAAATTTTGTTAATGGTAAAGGAGGTAAGAAAGAAGAAATGGCGGTTCCACTTTTAAGTAAGAAGATCGTGAAGAAGAGGGTCAAGAAGTTCAAGAGACCCCAAAGTGACCGCAAAATCTCCGTCAAGGTATATTAACACATTTTCCTATTATCATTGAAGTTTGATTTTTTATTTTCTGTGGTTGAATTAAATTTGATTGAACGTGGATATGAAGGTAGATTTTGACACCCAGTCTGAGTCTATATATGCTGAGGCAGTTTCGATCGACTATCATGTACCATTGCTCCAACTGGGCTCTTCAGTCTTTTGAAGTATTGTAAGATTTTTTTTAAAGATATGGTAGGAGACATGATGATACATATCCATCGTTTCTGCATTTGAATGATGAATACAAACATGCACTACCATCTGATCTCTTTTGCATATTTTCTTGACTTTTTCAGAATTGTGGTAAAATTTTAATTGATTTTTTTTCTGTCGCTTGCTGCTATTAGTCTACTTGTTTCAATTTGGTTTTGCCTCTTGGAAATACTAATGAGAAGATTCTCTCAATATCGTCCGTGGTATCTAATGTCTGGTTTGTATGTATTTGTAACTTGGCATTGTTAGCTTTTTTCTATAACAAGCTTTCTGTTACTAAATCCCTGGTCACATTGGTTTGCCTCATATCCATGCACATTTTACTTTGTTTGTCTTAATATTAAATATATGAAACTTGTCTTACTTGTCATGTTTACCCGGTTGGTTGATGACAGACGAACTGGCGTAGACCAAAGGGTATTGATTCTCGTGTTTGAAGGAAGTTTAAGGGATGCACTTTGATACCCAACATTGGTTATGGTTCAGACAAGAAGACACGTCACTATCTTCCGAATGGTTTCAAGAAATTTGTCGTGCACAATGTTGGAGAGCTTGAACTGTTGATGCAAAACAGGCACCGTTAACTTACCAAGAATGAATGAATGATTGATTAATCACTGTTGATGTATATTGTTTATTTATGTGTTCTCAATTTATATTTGTTGCTTATCAGGACATACAATGCCGAAATCGCTCATGATGTTTCCACAAAGAAGAGAAAGAGATTGTGGAACGAGCCGCACAGCTTGATGTTGTTGTTACTAACAAGCTTGCCAGGTTGCGCAGCCAAGAGGATGACTGAAAGCATAAGCTTATATGGTTATATTTATAGGTGAGCTTTGTTTGATCAACTTGCTTATAAATTTTGGATAGTTTTGTTTTGCCGTATCACTTTCTTAACCGTGATTTTTGTTGGACATTGATGATCTAAGCATTATACGTACAATTCTTAAATTTTCTCATGTTCTTGGGTTTTCATTGACTTTTTGAATATGAGAACACCTCCAATATCTGTTGCTGCAAGATATAGTTCTCTGAGATTAGTTAAGTTCCCAATATTGTTCGATCCTGTGATATTATTAAAACATGAAATCTGCAACTTCCAAGGAGAAAATACCATAGATGGATAGTGGAATGGGATTCGAAAGCGGTTTGTATCTCAGACGAAGACTCTTCATCTTTTGAAGCTACTGATCTCGGACGGAGATTCGAGGCCGTGACTCGGCATTAATGCCATATGAAATGCCGGTCTAGTTGCATATAGAGCTGGCAGAGGGCCAGTTGTACGGTTGGATATTTTGAATTTTTGTAGTGATATGGGCTTCGAATTTGAGAAGAAGACATTGATCATTTGCAGCCATGCGTAAGGCTACGAAGATGGCGATCGAGTATTGTAACAGTGATATTGGGACAAAAAATGACAGATTTATGCTGGCCATTGACGCTGGATTATTATTATCATCTCCGAGTGAATGTGAAACGGGGATGCTTAATTTAGTTAATTGCTATACAAAATGGAAGGGGAATATAAAGCTTGTAAGGTCAGGTTTACAGTGTTTTGTAGGCTCTATTAACATGAAAATTCAAGATACTAAAAACACAATACACCAGCAAAATGGATAGGGCAATTTAACAATAAAATCAGATCAAGATCCGAAGAACATCAGAATGGAACACAAATTACCCAAAATCCATATGAGATCCGAATCAAAAAAAAAAAAACCGAGTGAATGAAACGCTCATACCTCAAAACGTCTAATGGATCGGATTTCAACTATCAGAAAAATGAGATCGAACATAAACTCTTTATCGGAATATTGAAACCAGACACGAGTGGAATACTCCACACATACCTCTTTCTCAGATCTGCTGTGAGGAGCCATTGTATTGGATTACGATGTGAAGCCAAAGCAGAGTTGCCGAAACAAAGAAAACAGAGGAGGGGATGAGGAAGTACCTGAAAAAGAAAGCATAAAAAACAACAATCAGTATTTGAGAAAAGGAGAGGAAAAAAAAAAAGTGGAAAGCAAAGGAATAAAAAAATCAAAGAAGAGAGAGAAAAGGCAGAAAAATGAAAACAAAAGGACGAAGAGAAGAAGAAATTTACGGTTGATAATAAATAAAATTCAATGCAAAAAAAGAAAGTAATAAAATTATAATATATTTTTAAAAAAACAAAAAGGGAAAAGTCAAGATATTTTCTAGTTAAAGTTAGTTTGAAAGTTGGTTAATCCTCCTCTGTCGAAATGAGTAAGATTTGATTCAAATTTAAAATATTTAATATCTAATGATAATATGGATTTTAATTATATCTGAAATTGAATTAAGTTAAATATTTAAATAAAAAAAATCGGAACCTTATTAATTTGTAGAAGTTAATTGCAAATAATTGAGACGAAAAAGAATTTAAAATTCCCACTATCTACAGACGGATGAGTTCTATATATTTAGAACCCTAATTCACTCCTACATGTTGAAAGGAAGCTTAACATGATTCGTTTTGGCGCCTGTTCTTCTCTGATTTAATCTGCGCCTTTGCGCTTGATCGCCCCATAAAAAACACGGCAGCGGCGGCGACGGCTACAGCTCCGACCGATGCAAATATCGAACCCCATTTGATCTTACTCCCATTATCCTCCTCCTCTTCATCTACTTCGTCTTCTTCTTCTTGTTCCTCATATTTCAATTCATTTACTTCCTCTTTCAGAGTCCGACCAATCAATTCCTTGGTTTTCCTGCTTTTCAACTCAACAATGGCGTTCCTCAGCTCGCATAACTCGGACTCCAACTCAGTCATCTTCTCCTTGATCTCATTCGCCATCTTCTCCGACCCTTTTATGGCCTTAACTTCATCCATCATCATCTGCAAATCGAGCATCCCGTAACTTCCCCTCTCTAACATAGCTTCCAGTATCTCGATTTCTTTACTCAATTTCTTCTCATCTTTAACACCATTACCATCGTTCACGTTCATAGCTTCGCCGATCGCTTTCCTGGTTTTCTCAATTTTCTGGGCAGCTTTTTTCTTATTCAGATTCGCTTTGCGCCTGGGAATATCGGCTTTTGAAATCTTACCCTTTCCGGATTTTTTTCTTCGTTCTTCAGCTCCGGTCCCTAAATCTTTCAATTTCTCGTTCAATTTCATCGCTTTCAAAATCTCTTCATCTTCCACCAATTTCTCCAATTCATCACCTTTCAACCCTTTCGCGAGCATCAACATCAGAACTTTCCGCTCCAATTGTTCGATTCCGAGATCCATTTGATTCTCATCAGTTCCCAATTCTTCAACCCCACGGTTTAACGAATTCAACATCTTATCATTCTCTACATCATCGAGGTTCAATCGAGGCGCCCCATGCCCTAATCTCTTACGAAAACGGTTCCGATCCGAAAGCTTACCTTCCATCCCTATTCCCACGCGGTCCTCGCCTTCGTTCTCCGCCACCTGATGGACCCGCGACGATGACGAAGAAGAAGACGATGAAGACGGCGGCGATGGGAAGTTGTAGAGCACGGAACTTCCCATTAGATTAACAGAAGAGATCCCCATTACAAGATGGAACGTGGATCGAGAAAACAGATTCTTATACTAAAATTTGAAAAAAATAAAAGAAAATTACTTTAATTTAACCAATCTAATGGAAGATTGATTTAAATTGCACGGTTGCGAGAAACGGAGAGTTTGGATTTTCCGTTTCTGGAAAATATTTTCGCGCCCTAATTACGGGGTCAACTATCATACATGTCGACAATTGATTGGATTAAAACTATTCATCTTAATTTAATCAGATAATAAGATAATAAGCTTAAGTTAGCTGACAATGAATGAAAAAGTGGCTAAACATGTAGTTTTAGATAAAAATATGATTAATACGACTATGACATATATAATTATATAATATAATTCATTAAAATCGTATACCATTGATTAGTCACTCTCACCTCTGCAGTATTTGATCTGGATTAGTCGATCATTAGATCGGATAGCAGTGCCGCTACCACTACCCATTGTTCTTTAGGGGGGAAGCATTGGCATTGAGCCTTTTAAATAAATTAGACTTGCCTTGTCTAACAGATCCCCATGAACAGATGGTTCTGCAGTAAAAAAGAAACCACATAACATGCGAGACATATGTGTGTATATGTATGTATATAAAGAACATATATTGATGGCGCAGAACAACAGGATTGTGCACCATAACATGATACTAATCCGGACATTTTTTCAAGAGGGGACTGCTTGTTATATGATTGCCTACGACTGCGAAGAAAGTGTATCAAATTGAACCTAGAACTACTGGGGATTAGTTCAAGCAAGGCATTTGCAGATCTTTGAATAATACCAGGTAGCTGAAAAACACTGATCGAATGACCAGCAATAAATTCCATATCTCAAGTTTCAGTTTCTCGTTGAAGCACTCTCGTATACCCACAAAAGCACAGAGGGTATGAGTTGCCGAGCATATATCGATATTCGATATGCAGCACTACAAACTATAAGGGAAGCATAATCTAGATTTTTCTTTTTAACTCAAAAGGATAGCCTGAACCTGTGATTATCTGTTCGAACCAGTGAGGACATCAAACAACCCACAGCAACTAAACAACGACGTTCTTTGCACCATCAGTGGAGTCGAAGCAACAAGGGGCTGTGAACCAATTCAGCAAATAAGCAAGACATCACTTTCCAGTCAAATAAGGGACTATTGAAATCCACAATTCTCAAAAGAAAAAGGGCAACATATACCTGTTTTTTAGAATCATCATGTGGCTCAGCATCCCGGTTTTTTCCCGCTACATTGCTAGTTTCAGCAGGTGGCATGCTTGAGGATGGGGAAGACTGTCCATTTCCTTCCAATTCAACCCCAGATATCCCATTTGATGGGGACAATAACTCTACTTCACTTCCCTTGGACCTTGATTCAACTACATTGTATTCTGATCTGTTTGCTGAAATTTCAGTACCATTCCCAACTTACAATGTCACAGTCTCGATAACGGATTCCGCTGCAGATTTACCATTAACATCCATATGAGTTCCATTTTCAGCAACTTTCATAGACATGATGGTAGCTGACTTGTCTTTCTTACCACATGAGGTCTCTTCAGAACCATTGTAGTCTTCTTCCTTCGACTTCTTCTAGGAGGCTCGAGATTCATCATCTGAACTATCGCTGCAGATAGAACTCTTATCGTGCTCAACATGCTGAATACGAGCATTTGCGGTGCCCCCAACATCATCCAATCCGGATTTTTCCGTGACTTTTGAATCTCTAAGGGTTTCTTCCACGGAATTTTCCTCAGTTACAAGTGATTCAACAGGTGATGGTGCTCTTTTCCTTTCTTCTTCCTTGTGATTGAATGGATGCTGGTGATTGTGGTCACCCTGAGATGCAGGGGAACCGTCACTGTCCCTTTCATCTTGTCTTTTCGTATCATAATTTCCTGGAACCATTTCATAAATCAAAATCATTTCAATAACCATGCAAACAAGAAATTTATCAATCCCATCTTGAAACAACCAAAATAAACTCTAGAAAACAAATCTGTCTTCAATTAGAAACTTCATTCAACAGCAAGAACAAAAATCTCCAACACAGTAATCCAAGAACAAAATGCCACTTACAAATAAAAAAGAAAACTACCCATCATCTCAAATCAAGGGAAAAAACAAAAACCCGAAACAAAATTCTCAAAAGCAAAGCAAAATACCATGTGGGTTGACTGGTTGTTGTTCCTTCTTCTTCTTGGCAGCTTTTCTCTTCTTAGAACCCGATGGCATGATTGCTTCCCTTCCTCTTCACTGAGCTGTGCTGGATTAAGTGATGTTTAGAAGGTGAGCGTTCACAAATTATGCTGCAATTAGTGGCAACAGCCAAAGAGAACCGCTGTTACTTGCTAGAAACTACTTAAGAAAACGCTGGTTTGTCCATCCGATTGCTTGGGTGCTCACTTGGAGAGAGATTTGGAATATTTAAGAGATTTTGAATTGATGGGGGAAATATTTGGAGGGTGTGGGGTATGTTCGAAAATGGATTGAAATGATGAAAGCTGCAATGAGTGGGTTGATTTTTGTAAAAGTTAAAAGGTTGTTTTGTTTTTGTCAATGGAGTTGGCTTACCTGCGGCTGGTTTATTTAAATATATTATTTTTTTATTACTATTCATAAAAATAACACTTTATAATTAAAGAATCATTTTATAAAATAATATTCTATAATCAAATAGTTTGTGTATTTTACCCATTTAATATTACTTACATATATTTGACCTCATGTAAATATTTTATAGATAAAAAGTATTAAATTAGAGTAAATATATAACTTAAACAGGGCTAATAGAAGAATTTGGCACAAATAAGTAATAATGTAATATGAAAGAAAAAGGTGCAGTAGAGGAAGAACAAAGGTTTATCTTTGAGCTCTCAAGTGTACCCAACACTCAGATCTGATCAGACATCCAATCAACAAAATATTAAGTAAAGTCCAGATCTTTAACAAATCCCAATTCGCTAATCGGTTTATTTGTGTTCAAAGAGTCGGAAGAAGAAGCTGCAATGGATGCTTTGAGGAGGCAAGCCAGTAAGCTCAGAGAACAAGTTGCCAAGCAACAGCAGGCAATTTCATCACTAACCTTTCTTTGTTTCTACTTTCAATTTTTTTGACTAATGAGAATTGGATTCTATTCATTGGTTTCTGGGGAAATGGTGGAAAACAAGAAAATTAAAAGCAAAGACTTTTCCTTTTCTCTTGCTTTGGTTTTAAATTTTAAGAAATGAACAATTTAGTATGTGTTACAGAGTTAGACGACAGATTTGGTTACTTTTTACTTGTAAAATTTTTGGAATTTGAGGACCTAATTCATTTGTTTCGAGAATTAAAGACTGAATTGTGAAGGTAATTCTAAACATTCAATGTATTTTATAGTCATCAATGTGGGACAATTTATCTGTATTTTATCTGCAATTTTCATACTTTTCTAACAAATTGAAAAGATTAGATATGGAGTTTCGAAAGTTTTATTATTGCAAAGCTTCATCCTTTACCTGAAAGCTACTGAGGAAGAGTGTTTTTCGAGGAAATGAAAGATAAAGTGAAAGTTGAGTGATCAATGAGATGTTTGAAACATCTACTGAGTGACGATGGACGTTTGAATGTTTTATGGAATTTGGTCAAAGCATAAGCATGAATGTCATTCATTTTGTTATTTGTTAGGATCGTTCATGTTTTTGCTAGTCAAGTTCAATTCTTGCATGTTCTTTTGTTACTTTGCCGGTTCCGTTTTGCTTCAAATGATTAATTTCTTCTCTCGTCGAGTTACAAAACTTGTTTTGCAGGCTGTAATCAAGCAACTTGGTGGAACTGGTTACGAGAGCTCAGATGTTGTAGTGATTGATGAGGTTGAAATGCAAAGACATCAACAACTGGACAAATTGTACAGGACTACTCGTTCGGGAAGGGTGATGATCATTCTCCACTTCATATTTCTGAAACTTACATTTGAAAAATCACATAGCATTCGTTTATCATCCATGTTTCATCTTCTTGAGAAAGGACTGAATACTCTCATGATCCCCTGCAATAGTTACAATTACAGTAGCATCCCCCTTAAGTTTCATTTTAGTGAAAAAATTTGCAGTCTGCCATATGACAGCAACGGCTTCGAAAATGGGCATCCTTTGTACTTAAGTTATTGTTACAACCTTTCGGTAATGAAATAACCAGCTAAAGGTGAAAAATTGCAGGGGGAAAGAAGAACATGATATTTTGAGCCTGCTAATGGCTTTATCATGCCATGATGTTTTAGCGACTCAGTTTATTGTTTCGTCTTGGCACTCTCTAATTTTCTTTTGTACTTACTGCAAATTTCATGGATTGATGGATATACTTTCTTCCTTTCAGGACTTTCAGAAAGATGTTATTAAGCTGCAGAAGCGTTTACGGCCATTGGGTATAAGCACATTGAAGCAGGTGCAACACTAGTTCATACTATTTGAACTTAAATTTCCCTATTATGGGTACATGTGCAATTAAATAACAAACATATATTTTGGTGATAAAACTTCACACTTATGGTTCTTAATTTTTATGGTAATCAGGAACCAAGTTCTCTGAAGAATGCTGTCAATATGGTGATGGTCGTAAACATGCAGAGAAGGAGCAAGAAGATTTAATCAAGCTGTTATCCAGCAGGTTGACTTTGATCAGATGCTATGCATTTTTGACCATATCGGAAAATGTGTTTACTTGTAAAAGAATTCAATAAAAACGAGTATAATGCTTTCTTTGGTCTCAACTGCATGCTTGTATATTGGCACAAAGCAGTATTTTTTATTTCGCAATTCAAAGCAATTTTTCCTTCTGTTTAATTTGGTCATAGTTGATTGAGAATAGCTAATGCCTAGTAGAAACATGACACTGTTGCCCAATGCATTAGGTTTTGGATCCATTGAGAGCAATGATCGCTGGTGCTCTTTAGAAGATGCTCGTCATCTTGCTCAGCGCTATAGTCGAATGAGACAGGAAGCCGAGGCCCAGGTAATTTAATAGAAAGACGAGCTTGCTCTGCATAAGTAATTTTCTATATATTAGACATCAGCTTAAGTTCCCTGTTCGTAAGATTTGCTTCAGAAGCTGAGTACATACTAAATATAATAAACAAACAGCAGCAGAGGTTTTCAGAAGACAAGCACGAATAAGAGAAGCTCCACTTCCTGAAAATGTTGCAAAGTTGCATGCCGCTGAAGCAAGGATGCAAGAACTTAAAGCAAATATGGCGGTTCTGGGTAAAGAAGCTGCTGCTGCATTGGCTGCTGTTGAAGCTCAGCAGCAAAGACTGACTGTATAGAGACTAATAGCTATGGTATACATGCAAATTAAACTTGGCATACAGAGTCTCCTATTTGAAGCATTGATACATAAAAGACACTTAAGATTCTGATATATGCATTTGTAGGTTGAAGGAGAAAAGACTTACCATTTGAGAGTGGCTGCTATCCTTAATGAGATTGAAGCTGAGGTTATTTCCAGTCTTCATTCTTTCTGATAAAGATTTTTATGTCGAATTCTGTAACCTGTACATTTCTCTGGAGCTTGTCAGATGGTATCAGAGAAACAACGTAAAGAATCTGCTCCTCCTGTGATTGCACCCGAGAATGGCTCAGAGAAAACCATATATTTCTTAGCTGAAGTAAGTTCACCTAATCTTGGAAATTTATGGAATGTGAATCAAGTAGTTGTTCCGATCTGTGAGCACTAATAATTTTTGAGTTTCATGGCACAGGCTACGCATCATTTTTTTGCTGAATCGGAGAAGGAACTGAACTTGGCTGCAGGTGACTTTGTTGTTGTGCAAAAGGTATTCTAGTTCCATGTTTAGACTTTACCTATGTTGCATATAGGTTACATTTAGTTCGATAGACTCAAAAGATCTGGATTATAGTCGTCTAAATCACTCTAAGCTAATGTGAAGGACAGAAAAATCAAAGAATAATGCTCTGGTTATATAATCTAGCTTAATGCCTACATAAAAATAACACTAATTGTAATAAAACTATGCAGTTGAGCCCATCTGGATGGTCAGAAGGAGAATGTAAAGGTAAAGCAGGGTGGTTTCCATCAGCTTATGTTGAGAAACGACAGAGACTCCAGTCCAATAATCTGGCCGGTGAAGCGTACTAAGTTAGTCGAGATTTAATCATTTATCCGTCTTCTTTTTTCCTTTTCTTTAGCCTGTATAAATCTTTCCATTACAGGGGAAAGGCATATTATGCTTCTAGTAATCATATGGGTTCTTTCACAATGTTCATGTATCTGCAAAAGAGGTAAAAAGTATCTTATGAAACATGCAACGCTATGAAACTTTTAACCCTGAACATGTTTTTCATTATGTCTAGAGAAAGAGGTAAACAGATATTTCAAAAACTAATCCCAAATCAAAATTTCGTGGTTCTAATATGAACACCCTTTAGCTGGAGAAATTGGAGTCTAGTTTGAAAATCTTGTTCATCTGCATGGTTATTGTAGCATAGCCTCTTCCATTAAATGTTTCTGCCTCACGTTGAAGTGTTTAAGTGAAGTGCTACCAAGGAGGCATAAGCCCCATCAGTAATATTCATCAATGCATCGTGTCCTCCTTTCTCAACGATGGCTCCGTTTTTCACGACTGCAATAATATCAGCGCCCTTTATAGTGCTAAGGCGGTGAGCAACTACGACAGTTGTTTGGTTCACCATTACTGCATCCAATGCCTCCTGTACCACACGTTCCGATTCTGCATCTAGAGCACTTGTTGCCTCGTCAAGCAGAAGGATCCTGGGGTTCTTCAATATGGCTCTCGCAATGGCAATCCGTTGCTTTTGCCCTCCAGACAACTGAACTCCTCGTTCTCCAACTGAGGTCTCGTAACCCTGCGGCAATGAGCTGATAAAGGTGTGCGCATTCGCTGCTTTTGTTGCTGCCACGATCTCTTCTTCGGTTGCATTTCCCTGTTTGCCGTAAGCTATGTTGGTACGGATGGTCTCTTTGAAGAGTATTGGCTCTTGGCTAACCAATCCCATCTGTTGCCGCAGCCAGCTTAATCTTAACTTTCTGATATCGGTGCCATCCAATAAACACTACCTGAGTTTGGATCATAAAATCTTAAGATGAGGCTAATGACAGTTGACTTCCCACTGCCACTCTCTCCAACAAGTGCAACAGTCTGCAAATATGATATAAAAACAAAGCAAAGTGAGTTCTCTAGTAGTAAATGAGATTTGGGTCTTAAATGGAATTGATAATAAATACCTTCCCATTAGGTATTGTGAGACACAGGTCTTTGAATATTTGAATGTCTGGTCGAGTCGGATACTTGAAGCTGACATGTTCTAACTCAATATTGCCTGTTACTGTGGGAATTGTTAAGCCATCCTCGCTGCTCGAGTCGATAGGAGGTTTTCTATCAAGAATGTCGAATATCGAAGCTGCTGAATCCTTGGCTTTATTGGTGTCAGGAGCCAAGGCACTGGTTTGTGAAACACCGATGGCTGAGATTGTCAATGCGAAGAAAACCTTGAATACCTCATCAAATTTTGCTTTCCCATGCTTCACAAGTATGGCTCCAAGGTAGAAACAGAAGGCATTTGTGCAATACAAGGCAAAGAAAGAGAATCCGAACCCGGTACCGCTTACAAGTCCGAGACGAACTCCCTGTTTCATGGGGGCTTCGCATTTCTGTTGATACAAATCCATCACCCTCTGTTCCGAACAAAAAGATGCAACAGTTCTGATACCTCCAACAGCACCATTGGCTACTTGGCTTGCTTCTTCATACTTCAACTGCATTCACATTGAACATATACATATATACTTTTTAGTATAACTGAAACAATCCCTTCATCTAAATTGTTCAATTTTCATAGGGTACCGCTGACCTTTGCATCAGCACTGAATCCCTTCAGAAATTTGGTCTGCAAGTATCCTTGAATTAATGTAAATGGCATGGCGGCTAGGATTGCGATCGCCAAAATCCAGTTAGCAGTAAATGCTATGACTAATCCTGCTATGATAGTAGCTAAATTTTGTACAATCAGGGCCAAGCTATCGCCAACTAGATTTCTTACAGTTGATGCATCAGTTGACAATCTAGCTCCGATGGCGCCGCTGTGAAGTTCAAAAGAAAGATTGTTGTTAAAGCAGCAAGAAATTTCACAGCATGAGAAAGTTTTAAAAAGGAAAAGGTTGCTTGAAATGTACCTAGAATTCGCAGGATCGTCGAACCAACCGATATTTTGGTGGACTACCTTCTCAAACATCATGGAACGAATTCTTTCAATAAGTTTTCCACCTGCAATGCCGAAGAAGAAATTCTGTGCCGGTCCGATAATTAGAGTAACCACACCTAATCCGACGTAACTAAGTGCCCATGCCCTGGAATTCTTTAAAAGCTTACTTGGGGATCATAGAATGATTTAATGGCTGATGAGAAAAGGAGACCAAATATAGGAAATACTAGTCCATGAACAGCTGCAGCAATGGAGCCAATCAATAGGACTGGAACCTCAGGCTTGTTAAGACTCGCCAGCCGTCTAATCGAAACTTTTTTGCGTCTTTCAACTTTAGCTTCATCCAGTATGCTTCTCTCTTCGCCTGTTTCTTCTGTTTCAGCAAAGTTAACTAGACCGGGAACACCGAAAGTATATGTGAAGGATTGTCGACTTGATGATGATGCACTTCTGCTTGTAGACCTTACCAAAGACGTACTCAATCTCTGGCTTCCAGACAGGGTAATTTCCTTATCTGTATCAGCAGTTTCATCTGATTTTTCGGTTTCCTTCCCTTGAGCACCGTTGCTTCTTTATCTCCCTCTTGCAAACGAACTAATCGGGAATAAGCACCTTCCGGATCTTTGATCAACTCCTCATGCGTTCCTAGATTTAATCTCTCAATGTTGCAGACTGGTGAATTAATATAGAAACAAAGGTTAACAAAGCTGGCATTGAGATGGTACCTTTCTCCACAAGTTTCCCTAAGTGCACCACTGCTATCATGTCTGCATTCCTGATAGTTGTCAACCGATGTGCCACCACCATGGTTGTCCTATTGGACATCACTCTCACCAGTGCATCTTGAACGATTCGTTCCGATTCGGCATCCAGGGCACTCGTAGCCTCGTCGAGGAGGAGGATTCTTGGGTTTTTCAAAATGGCTCTTGCTATTGCTATTCTTTGCTTTTGCCCACCTGAAAGTTGAGTTCCATGCTCTCCCACCATGGTGTCAAGCCCCTGTTAGACAAACAGCAATTTTTTCATTAGTCGCTTGAAATTTTCTGATCGGAAAACCAAAGTCGTATTAAGACCAATGCATTCTTTTTACCTTGGGCAACTTGTCAATGAATTTGGCAGCATTAGCCATATCAATTGCTTCTTTAATCTCTTCATGAGTCGCGTTGTCCTTTCCATATGCAATATTTTCCCTGATAGTTGTTGCAAACAGTATCGGTTCTTGGCTGACAAGTCCGATTTTCCCCCTAATCCATTGTAGCTGTATCTTTTTAAGATCAACGCCATCAATAAGAACTTCTCCGGATTCAGGATCATAAAATCTCTCCAAAAGGCTAATTACGGTTGATTTGCCACTACCACTCTGTCCCACCAAGGCTGCAGTTGTACCACTTGGAACATGCAATGAAAAACCAGCAAATATCTGCACATCGGGCCTTGCAGGATACCTAAAATACACATCCTTGAGTTCGATTTCACCCCGGATATCTTCCAGTGTTATTCCACTAGTGTCATAAGGATCAATCATCGGTTTCCGTTTAATCGTCTCGAACATCTTATACGCTGCAGCTTGCCCCGATGCAAACGCATTTACACTCGGAATTGTCTGACCCAACGACCTGAACCCAGCATAATAAACACAGTGGACGAGGAAACTAATGAAAATCTGAAGTATATAATACTATGTATACTTACATTCCTCCTGTCATGATTGCTAATATAACACTGATGACTTGCCCACCATTGTACCCGTGGTTTGCAATCAATTTAGCTCCAACCCATACAGCGAGTCCATAAGTGGAGAACACTACAAGCATCATTGTGCCAAGTCCCATGCCTGAAACCAGCCCTTGTCGAACAGTGGCACTATAGGCGATCCGCAGCTTGTCATTATATTTCTCTATGGCGTGTTTCTCGCCGGTAAACGATGCGACCTGAAAAAAGAAATCATCGCCGAAATGATTTGAGTTAGTGAATTCTTTTTCCCAAACAAAACCCAAACTTAGGTTGAATACTTACAGTTCTAATGGCTCCAACTGTTTGTTCCACAACGTTCCCGGCTTCAGCATAAGCAATTTGTCCTCTGCTTGACATTTTCGCCATTATCATCGCCATGGTTCCACCGGCAAGGACGACAAGAGGGATGCAGGATGTGAGAACTAGTGCTAGTTGCCATCCTTTTATAAAAGCTACTATAAACCCCCCAATGAAAGTTGTTAGAAGCTGTATAAACTTCCCAACCTGTAACAAAAACCATGTATCATAATCCTCCTATACACACACATACACACACATGGATATAGTATTAACCTTCTCTCCCATTGCCTCTTGAATGAGTATAGTATCCCCCGACATCCTCCCGACAACTTCACCGGTTGTCGTTTCAGTGTCGAAGAATCCGATGTCCTGTCGGAGTATGGTTTTTAAGTACAAGGCACGGATGCGGGTAGCCTGTCTCTCTGCTGTCACCATCCAACATGTTACCTCTGTAAAACCGCATAGATGTGTTAAAAATGCAAATACATAGGAAGCTGTCAAAACAGTTAATACAGTATTCAACGCTTACGTGTGAATGAAGTAATGCACGAATAAATCCCCAAGTATATAAACTTCACTGCAACCTGAAAAATCAAACAAGTAAAATATTAATTCATTAATATTCATTAATTAATATCATTAAACATTATTAGTATCATTAATCAACTATGACTACTTCACCGTATGTTATATTTATATATATATATGCTCACAGCTTTAAGCAATATTTACATCATAATACACCATAAAATAGAGAAACGATGAATATGATAATATTCGGATGAACTTTGGATCTAATGATAAGGAATTTGATACTTTTACCTTGTAAGATTACGAATTTATTACTTAAAATAATATCATTGTCAGGGTTTTAAATAGCGGTATGCGATCGCGATAGCGCCTACGAAATAGCGATAACGTCGCTTCCGATATACCCGCTATACTCACAATAGCGGCTGCTATGACTGCAATAGCGCCCACTACGATCGCAATCACAGTAAACACGATATGAAAAAAAAGCGACCGCGGTTTGATTCCTCATTGCTTCCGCGTGAAATCACGAGAAGAAAATATTCCAAAGAAAACCAAGAAAGGAAGGAAAGAAAGTTGTTTTTATATAACCTCCGAGACTATTTTAACGACATGGGATCGATCGGCGCGGGAGAAGTTATCGATCATTTCGCCGAATATGAGAGTCATGAGTGGCTGCGTCATCCCATTGGCCATGGCTGCGATGGTTCCCGCCGTTATCAAAAACACATCCAACCTATCAGCGAACGCAAACAGCTTGTAAAATGGCACTTTCTGTTGATCGGCAGATTTCTTGTTGCCGCCATTGTTTTTGCTTTTAGCTTTTCCTTCGGAAGCTGCTCCGTCACTTCTCACTACTGATGATGATCCGTCGTCATTATTAACTTCCACCATGATTCTTTATTTCGTTCTTTCGATCAAAAAAACTAAAAGAAAAAGAATCAACCCGAATCTTTTCTTGGGTTAACTAATCGATCTGGTGTTTTACCATAAAAGATTGCTTATTACGTGGAAACAAGTTCACAGAAATAAAGAGCTTATTACGTGGGTACTACGTATAAAGGATAAAATATTTAATTTTTATTTTAAGTTATGAATTTAATATTTTAAATTTAAGATAATTATTTTTAAAAGATATTATTTAATTTTTATAATTAATCACGATGATTAATTTTCATTCATCTAGAATATTAAAAGTGTATATTTAAAAAAAAATTATATTGTGTCAACTAGATTTATTTATTTTTTATAAATTTTATCTCTCTATTTTATAAAAAATTAATCTAATGATATTTTAGTTTCTTTATCAATTTAAACTTAAATTAAACTAAAATTTTGTTCCTTATAATTTTTTAGATTAGATATTTAACGAATCTTTATTATCTTGAACTTAAATAATTTATTTTTTAATATTTAATCTTAATTTCTTATTTAATTATATACAAATCATAGAACCGTTTGGCTAATTTTTACGTATAAAATTTTAAATTATTTATTTCTAGGTAACGATTTTCTAATTTAATTAATTTAAATTTTTTATAATGAATAAGCATTAAGTTATAATAAATTAAAGTAGCATAACATAACTAGCTAAAAGAGGAAAACCGTGAATAAATTTAGGGATTCGTCTAGAAAGCCAATACTACTTTGTAGTTATGGGTCTTTGTCACACCCGATTTTGCTCCCAAGTAGTAGAAACTTGTTTCCGGGCAGCTCCATGCTCTTCTTTACCTTTAAAAAGCAACTACGTGCTTTTTTTTTCATTCAAAAAATAGCTTAATATAAAAATAAGTGTTAAAATTATATATATATATATATATATATTAGATTTTTTTTATCAAATTAAGTACTTGGCTTTATTTTTATTTCCTTTAATTTAAAAAAATATATACATAAATTTTCAAAACAAAAAAAATCAACTTTGTTTCAATTTTTCATAAAATACCTCAAGACTTTCAATTCATCCTTCGGTTACTATCATCAGTGACCATCCACTCAGTCGTCGGTTACTCACTTGTTGACTACCCTCTGATCATTCACACGTTGATTGGATGGATATGTGTTAAGATTTAGGGATTTGATTTAATTTTGGGATTTGGGTTTAAGGATTTGGGGGGTCTGAAGTTATGATTGATGCTTGATGACTGGTGGATAGACGGTTCGTAGGGGCGACAGTGGCGGTGGACCGCTGATGGGTGAGGAGAATGCTTTAGGATTAAGGATTTTAGGACTTTTGAGATTTTATAATTTTTTTTGGTTTTTTTAAAATAATAATAATTTTAAGTTTTTTTTTAAATTAAAATTTTAAAAATTTATAAAGACGGTACATAGTATGTTTGGAGTGGTTGATGAAATTTTTTTAATATGTTACAGTCGATGCAACTAAATGATAACATTAGAAACATTAGACACTTATATTGACAAAAAATTTAAGCACATAAATGAAAAAGAGGTATAGTTTGAATATCATTTTTTATTTTAAACCAGAAAAGTAATTTTTTAAAGAGTATAAGTATAATTACATTTACCGGAAATTATGATGAATATAATATAAATCATTAGGAATAAAATAAATTATTATAAAATAATGATAAATTTAATTAAATTTTAGAATAAATTTGGATAAAAATTACATATGATAGATAAAGTAACAGATTGAATAATTTTCAAAATAAATATTAAAAGGTTAGTATCTAATAAACAGGATGTTATTTTCGATCAATATACTGATCAGCTTCTTCCAATTTTTTTTGGATCAATTTAAAAAATAATTAAATAAATTAAAAATAGACAAATAAATATTCCGATAATAAGTTTGAGGTAATTATAAAATAATATATGTTTAAATTATTTTCAAGTTATTGACATGCACACACTTTATCTGTAAACGTAACTATTCGAACCCGTAATTATATATTCTTAACCAAATATCGTAATCTTACATTCATGTTAAACAAATCAAATCAAACAAGATATTAACATTCTGATAATAATATTACATTCCATGAATTATATTTTTTAAATATTTAAATTAAATTTAATATTCAAGATTAAAATTTTAACTTTTTCTTAATAAAAATCAGTTTTACTGATTATCTCAATATCCATTTTCTATATGCTCATAGAAAATAAACGTGTAAGCTTTACTAGATGTAACTATATATATATATATATATATAGGATAAAATTCAATTATATTGTGTAGATTTTTTTTTGTGTAAAAAGAAAAAGTAAAATATAAATGAATTTTATATAATGAAATTGGATGTTAAGGCAATGAATTAATTGTTGAGAATAAGCAATCCCCAAACTGTTTTTGGCAAAGAAATCTTCATCTCCACCTTCATGGTCATCCGCCATTGGAGAGTGTTTCCAACGCGCCCGAAGAAACACCAAGATGAAAAAGAACATAATTTCTATGCCAACCCATTTGAGTTGCAGTTGTAGTAATTGAAGTCCACAAACCTGAAAACCAACAACAACAAAAAAAAAACTGAGACCCCAGCGTGTTAAATGCGGCCGCGCAGACAAAAATAAAGCACAAACAGCTACAGCTACAGCTACAGCTACCTCAGCAGTAGCAACAACAAATGACCACGGATACTGCAAAAAGGAAATAAAAAGCGAAATAATTCAATTTAAATTAACCCCTTCAAATTTTATATTTTTCAAATTCATCGGGAGTCGTGCAAAGCTATAAACTTTCACTTTCTTTACTCTCTGTAGTTGTGCTTGCCAGTTTTATATACCCAGAAAAAAACCTTGCTTTCCTTAAACCCTTTCTTTTTATCATATATATATAAGCTACATTTTTTAACATTAACCGTCTTTGACTCAACAAAATTTAGGGTTTAAAACGTGCTGCTGCTGCTGCTACTGCTGCTACAATGTCTCAAGCAGCTCACCGTGGCCATGGTAGTTTGCTCTTGCCACTACATTTTCCTGGGAGTTTGTTTTTGCCAAGAAGGTTCTTTCTCCCTCTTTTCCTTCATGTATCTTTAGCTTGTGTAGATGAAGATTAGTTCTTTTCTTTCTTTGTAGTGTTGTTTTTGCTGTTCTAGCTGATGGGGTTTGAGCATTTGGGGAGATTTTACTCTTTTAGCTTTGCTCCAATGATTACAATGTTGTCTGATACTGCTCTTGTTCCTCTGCAAATCCTTGCTGTTTTTGCTTAAATCCGTGTTATTGCTGTTTCCCCCCATCATAACTAAGCTACTAAGGTGACGATTAGAACAATCAGTCAAAATAGAAACTTGAATGTAGATAATTATTTGAAGTCGTGGTGTCAAGTTCTCTATGGCGACCGATCCGAATAGTTAGAGAGTTTAGATTCCAATGATGGAGCAAATATTGCAGAAAGATGGCCTAATCAAAATGCTCATCGTGTGCTTGTGTATAACTGTATATTGAAGTCTCTAGTGCAGATTTGTTGGACTGTTTGGGACTTAGATTGCTGAGCTAGATGATAACATGTGCTTTTCGGACTCGAATTATGTATCTTTGTGATGGGAAGAAATGTAATGCTACATAAGAATGAATGTCCTAAGTGTTTTCTGAGGTGCAGTTCGAGTCTTAGCTGAAGTTGTAGTTTGGATTCTTGGGAGAAACCATGACTATTCCTTGATATATGTCATATTCATATGCCAATTTTTGGTTTTGTACATTTAGTTACCTAAACAATACCATATAAATATCCTTCCATGTATCTATGACGCTTCCTGGACATGGGGAGGTGGATGTAGATCTTGGCACACCGGAGCTCCGCGGAGTCGAAATTTCCCTGACGAGTGGATTATTGTATAATGCATGTGAAAGTTCTTGCATCATAGTTTTCATTTTTCTTTTTCCCTACCAAAACGTTTTCCTCCACCATTGGAAGTTCTTCAATCATACACATACTGACTTCCTATTGATATTTCCTTGATTTCTGTATGCCCTGGTTTCATACCCCACCGTGTCTAAGTATGTACTAACTCATGAACGAGGAGGTTGAGCCATTTTGATGACGGTGTGGATTTGAAGTGACTTAGTCTATGGTTATACCTTTTTGTCTTACCTTTATGATGCTTCATATTGTTAAAACGGGTGAGCACGTGACCACCTTGTTGCGATTCTTAATTCTTCGGATAAGAATTTAATGGGTTGTGCGATAGTCACAACAATAAGCTTGTAGAGTGATGAAGCTAGTTATTGTTATGTTTGAATGTCCCATTGTAGGTTTTTCAGACTGCATTTACTGTATGCCGGCATGCCGAAGATTTGGTTTTGCTTTTACCCTTTTGAATGTGTTGGGTATTGTTAAAGTTTGCTTACAATTGTTTCTGATTTTACAATGTTAGGTCCAGGGACAATGCAACTGGTGCCGGCTGGAGTGATTCTGCTCTACTCCGAAATTCGTCATGAACGTATTAGCGGAAACCATAGATTGACATACTCAGAGTTTGGAGATAGGGAATGAAGCCTTTGGTCCTTGTAGCATAGATTAAAATTTACTGTAAATTTATCTATTTTTAAATCATTTAGATTATAGAACTATGTTTCAGCTTTTATTTCATCAGTTCATTTACTATTAATCGGAGAATTATTTTACTTCCTTTGCATTGTATTAAGATTGTTTATTTTCCGAACCATTCTCGAGTAGTTTACAAGCATGTGTTTCATTGACAGCCTGCATTCGACAATTAACATTATCGATGATTTATTCGACTCAAGAAATATATTTTTGCTGCTAGAGGAACCTAGAACGTCTACACTCACGGGGTCGACCCTGTGGAAATCGCTTCAAATCGGCACAATAATTGTACACCATGAAATACCTTTGCACCCATCTGAGTCGCCTTCTGCCACTTGCATCCAGTGCTTGAGTTTGCCAAACATTGTTTCTGGCAGCGTTCAGTACTTGCGAAGCACAATCAGATTTGCCATTCGACCATGTACATGCATTCGCTTTGAAATTCCGATAGTAAGCCGTGAAAGGAGCCTTGGACCAATCCGTTTTCACCAGCCCTCCTCTCGTTGCCCAGTCATCTGCGTCCCACAGGCTCGAGTATATGCTCATGGGCTGGTTTCTGGGGAAGGGAACTCCAATGGATTCTTCATTGTTGAATACTCTGATTGGTATGTTATCTACCAGGAAACTGATGAGTTTAAAAAAAAGAGTTAGTTCTTCTTCTAGTTTTTCATTGGCTTGGAGAATTTAAGTTACACAACCCGCCGACCGATAAAATACTATCGCTTCTCGCCGTGGCATGTCCCATGAGAGTGATAGTACCTTCCCGATCGAAGGGTCGTGATGTTTTAGCTTACATAATCCGATGCTGGTTCCAAACGATCGAGTAGGTGTGGAAATGCTGGGTCGGGTCGAACCATAGGTAGAATTGTTGTTCCCTGTCACCTTTGCCTTGGCAGTAAACATTAGTGTGCACAATATAAGGGTCCCCACTCAAGTTACCCAAGAATTCAAAGTCTATCTCATCATGGTTTGGCCCTTCGGAAGATAACTGCAAACAAAAACCAGACATTAGAAACAAGGTTTTTCAAGCTTACTACCAAAGGAGAGTAAGACAAAGACCTTACGTAGAAAGCAGTAACGGTGCCGGCAGAGTTCCCGGCGACAAGCTTGATCTGCATATCGATTCTTCCGAAAAGATACTCTCTTTTAGACCTGAAACCCGAGCCAGAGGCCTTATCGAGATCGAGTGTAAGAAGCTCTCCACCATTGAGAATCTGAGCACGTTGATCACCCCATGTCAGATCAAACTCTTGATGGAAATCACCGGCCGATGCAACTGAGAAAGAACCAACAAAAACCGAAAGCAAAAGCATCACCGGAAACCGAAAATTTCCCATCTAGAGAGGAAGAAAGAGGACAGTGTAATTTGATGTGTGTGTGAAGTTGTTGGAAACCCTTTTTACTCGTATATATATACATGATAGTGCTGCATAGAATGCGTGACCAAGAACCAAATACAGTGCACAAATAGCTGGAAACGACACTGCAGTAGCTAAAAACCTTTGTTTGGAAGCTGAGAATCTGGGGGTAGGCGTTATTAGAAACAACTTTATACGCCTACAACCGACGCAATACAATTGGCAGTAAAGGACGAGCTCGAGGGACCAGCCTTCAGTTATGGCATTTTGTCTTTGTATTTCACCAAATTAGAATACATGCAAACGTGTCTGTCTGTGAATTATCATCCCCGTATCGAAAATACGCAAGAAGATGTTTGTAACAGTGACAACAACAGTGAGTTGTTGTGATATTAGGGTAATGTTCTGTTTGAGGATCGACTTTGCTTGGGGTGGAGTGTTGATATACTGACTTTAGAACTGTCAATTTACAGAAACTTTTCTTATCTTCAAAGTAATCGTGTACATTGTTTTTATATCTGTTCATAGCTCTTTTCAAGAACAGTGGCTTAGCTAGCTAACAGTCTTAACTAACTGATAACAACTCTAACCACCTAACCAATTCTTAACAGCTTAACTGTTTCATTATTCCCTCTGCTTCTTCTCCCTTCTTCAACAAGGCAGTACACACATCTTGTTTCTGAAGACTTCGAACGCCGCTTTAGTCAGCGGTTTAGTGAGACCATCAGCTACCTGGCAGTTGGCTGGCACATAGCAGACACGCAACGCTTTGGCAGCTACCTTCTCCCAAATGAAATGGACATCCATGTCCACATGCTTCGAATGTGCATGATAGACCGGATTCATGCTCATAGCTATGGCACTTGTATTATCACACCAGATAATCGGTTCTTCACGTGGCTTGGTCCCAAGACTGTCAAGTAACGCATTAATCCAAGTTATTTCTGCTGCTGTGTCTGCTACGCTGCGATACTCAGCTTCCATAGTCGATCTAGACACCGTCTTTTGCTTCCTCGAGCTCCAAACCACAGGACACTGTCCGAGGAACACCGTGTGACCAGAAACGAACCTGCGATCACTTGCATCACCACCCCAGTCTGCATCAGCAAATGCTATTACCTTCAGCCCCGCTTCACTAGCCAGAAAGGTGAGACCATAGTCCAAGGTACCGGCTAAGTACCGAAGTATACGCCTGACTGCTGCCATGTGTGCCTCACAGGGAGCATGCATATATTGAGCAGCTTTGTTTACGCTAAACTCTATATCAGGTCGAGTATGGCACACGTACAGAAGTGCACCCACCAAGCTTCTGTACTCACGAGCATTACTGAGTGGCGATCCTGCATCATGAACTAGTTTTGTCGACCCAACCATAGGGGTTGCAGTAGGGGTAGCATGCAACATATCCACCCTCTCGAGTAACTCAAGAACATATTTCTTTTGTGACAACACTAGTTTGCCAGTGGTTCTCTTAACTTCTATACCTAGAAAGAAGCTCAGCTCTCCTAGGTCCTTGAGAGAAAAATCCTCCTGCAAGAGTCGAATCACTCCCTCAATATCATTCGTGCTCTCACCAGTAATAATTATATCATCCACGTAAACTAAAACAAGTGTATAGCAACCACTTCCACACTTCACAAAGAGCGAAACATCAGCCAAAGATTCAATAAACCCCATCCGCTCAAGACTCGCCTTAAGCTTGTCATGCCAATTTCTAGGCGCCTGGCGAAGACCATACAAAGCCTTGTGTAGTTTACACACAAGTGGTGATCCATCTGCAGCCACTTCTTCAAATCCTGGGGGCTGTTGCATGAAAACTTCCTCAGCCAACTCTCCATTTAAAAACGCGTTATTCACATCAACTTGACGCAACAGCCAATTCCTACTGACAGCCAACGAAAGCACTACATTCAGCGTTGCAAACTTCACGACTGGACTGAATGTGTCCTTAAAGTCATAGCCAGGGACTTGCGAGTATCCTTTGGAAACTAAGCGCGCTTTATACCGTTGAATAGACCCATCCGGATTCTTCTTTATCTTGAAAAGCCATTTGCAACCAACAACATCACGTCCTTTGGGTACAAGTACTAAGGACCAAGTCTTATTTCCTTGTAGGGCATCGAGTTCTGCCTGAATTGCTGCTCTCCAACTTGAAGACTGTAACGCAGCTCGAATACTGGTAGGGGTTGAGTCATCGAAGAAGCTAGTGTATGTTTTTGGCTTAAATATACCACACTTACTACGTGTAAGCATTGAATGTTTATTCCCGAGTACACCTTCAGCAGGCTGTTCTTGAGTAGATGCAGATGTACTGGCAGCAGCCCGACTGGAACTATTCTGCGCCTGACTGGTCATATGGGTGACAGAATTTTCATTGTCACTAACCAAAACAGGACTTGCCACTCTTGACGCAGCAGAATGCTCATCATCCGGACTTGCAACTCTCGATGTAACAGGATGCTCATCATCCGGACTTGCAGCTCTCGATGCAGCAGGATGCTCATCACCCGGGCTTGCAGCTCTCGATGCTCCATCATGTTCATCAACTGCGCCTGTTCCAGTTGAGAGAACCCTCTCGCTGTTTATTTCATCACGTCCCACATCCATTAAGGTAGCGTCGCCATGTGCACTGAATTTTCCTAGATCGGTAATCACTTCTAGAGGCAGTAGTTGTGGACTGATTTTGTGAGCTGAGGAACTTGTATGAGTAGGGCCTGCAAAAGGAAAATTTAGCTCATTAAAAATCACATGTCGAGACACATATATACGGCCATCGGGTGCAAGGCATTGGAAACCCTTGTGGTGAGGACTATAGCCAAGAAAGACACACGATTGCGATCGAAAGTCAAGCTTATGTTTCAAGAAAGGTCTCAAGTGTGGAAAGCACTGACAACCAAACACTTTCAGCCCCTCATATTCAGGTCTCTTGCCAAAAAATTTCTCAAATGGTGACTTCCCTTGTAACACTCTTGTTGGTAGTCTATTGATTAAGTGCACTGCAGTAATGACTGCATATGACCAGAAACGTATTGGCATAGACGCCTGAGCAAGAAGGACAAGTGCAAGCTCGATGATATGCCGATGCTTGCGTTCCACCACACCATTTTGTTCAGACGTGTGTGGACAAGTCACACGATGTAAAATACCTTCCTTAACCAACGAGGTTGACAGCCTCATGTATTCTCCTCCCCAGTCACTCTGGACTGCTTTAATGGGTAAGTTGAATTGGTTCTTGACCATTTTCTGAAACAAGCCAAACGCAACGACGGCTTCTGACTTGTCTTTCAACAGATAAAGCCACGAGTGTCTAGTACTCGCATCAATAAAGGTGACATAGTACTTAAAGCCATTTGAGGTTACTGGTGCTGGTCCCCATAAGTCTGTAAACACGAGCTGAAAAGGAGTATCATACACAATGTTCGAATTGTGAAATGGTAGTTTATGACTCTTCCCCATTTGACAAGCAGGACACATTTTATTCATTGACCTTGAAATGTTTACATTCAATTCTTTGCAAATTTTTAGTAAACTATCATGAGAGGGGTGGCCCAACCGTCGATGCCAAAGTTCGTAGGAGTCAAGTGAAGCAGCCATGGAACTAGCTTCTTCAGCAACTAGAGCTGTCACTTGAGGATCAGCAACAAACGAATACAAACCACCTTCTTCTTTTCCACAAAGCAAGACAGCCCCAGACTCTTCATCACGAACACAACACTCATGTGCATGAAATTCAAAGAAGGCATTGTTGTCCCTAGCAAGCTTCGAAACAGACAAGAGGTTCTTAGTTATCCTAGGAACATGCAACAAGTCGTTTAATAGTAAGGCTCTAGAAGACGAGCATAAGATAGAGTTACCAACTGCCTTGATGTCTAAGGCTACTCCATTGCCAACTACCAACTTACCTGGACTGTTGTAGTCATTTCTATGACTAAGGACTGTTCCATCTGGGGTGACATGATGGGTGGCACCTGAGTCCACCACCCATCTTTCGCGATTTGTTGTCGAGGTAAGCGCTTGAGGTCGTGTATCAATTTGAGACCCGCTGTTTCGAACACAACAACTTTCACACTCAGCAGGCTTAGTTTCATATGCAGAGTAATGTGCATCTGCAGGCTGGTCCTTTGAATACGACTTACTACCAGCTGTAACCCCAGGGAAGTCATGATCAAAACGATACCAACAGGTGTCTACAAGGTGGCCATTTTTACCACAGAGCTGGCACTGCATATAACGGCCACGACCTCTGCCTCTACCACCAGTCCTTCCATCAGAACTAGTCGGTGGTCGAGAAGGCTTACGATCGTAATAGTTGTTAGAGACGGATGACTTGTTTGAACCTGTCCCTTGAGCAATGTTAGCACTTATTGGCAACACTTCAGGTTGATCACCAAAGCCAGCTAACTGGGTTTTTGCATCCAGTAGCATCCTGTACACTGTGTCAGGAGTTAGGGCTTCACGTGTGGTTGTTATGACTGCAACAAACGGCTGGTACTCTCGAGGAAGGCCTTTTAGTATGCTGGCAACATGTTCAGCTTGGGACACGACACTGCCACACGACTGCAAGGCATCACACACTTCTTTTGCACGTGTGATGTATACTCTCATCGAGTCATCCCCTTTCTTGAGAGACTGCAGTTTATAGTGTAAGCTTATAACAGCAGTTATGGATCTGTTCCCAAAGAACTGAAGCACCGTGGACCAGACTGATGACGCCGTCTCAACACCCACAAACTGAGGCAGAAGCTGCGAGCTAATCGTGGAGAGCAACCACGACGCAAGGGCGCTGTCTTGAGCGACAAATTCTTCAAACAGCTCATTGGGCAAGACTTCTCCATCATCGCTAACTATGGTCTCTGGCGGAGACCTCATCGTTCCCATCAAGAATCGCTCAAGGCGATGGCTGCGAACTGTCAGCAAGATTTGCTGTTTCCAGAGCAAGAAGTTCGTTTCATCAAGAACTACGTTCACTTTTTTATTGGAGAACGCTTTAGTGCTTCTTGTGGTGAACTCCATGGCTGGAGAAGATGCATCGCTATTGAACATGATGAGAAGCAAACAACGCTAGTCACAGTTGAGAGAAGAGCCTTCTACACAGCGGAAACAAGAAACCTTTGCCCAGGAAATTTAGCGAATGATACCATGTTGATATACTGACTTTAGAACTGTCAATTTCAGAAACTTTTCTTATCTTCAAAGTAATCGTGTACATTGTTTTTATATATGCTCATAGAGCTTTTCAAGAACAGTGGCTTAGCTAGCTAACAGTCTTAACTAACTGATAACAACTCTAACCACCTAACCAATTCTTAACAGCTTAACTGTTTCATTATGGAGGAATGTTAAAAGAAGGAAAAAGGATGATGCTTCAGAGTTTGGTAAAGGATGAATCCCACACGTGAACAGAGTTGTTCATTTGCTTTGAAGGACAGGGAAGACAGGGAAAAAGCCATATAACTCCCCATCCTTTAGCCGCATATTTATATCTTAGTCACTGGTTTGGGTCATTTTAATTTTATTTCCAATTTATAGGTCATTTTTGTGGTATTTTCCCATTCTTGTCCTGTTAGGTAATTGTTAAGGTTTAAAAAGGAGGAAAACATGCTTGGGTCCCAAGTATTGCCTCATTTTTCCAAAATAGCCACCTTTTCCTTATTTATTTTATTATTTGAATCTAACGCTCTGACTTTACTAGTTTTCATTTTAGTCACAAATTTTGTGGGAAAATCGATCTTTAGTCCCCCTAGGTTTTCCTTTTTATATATTAGTCACTAGGAGCTTTATTTTCTTGCTTTTTCTGATTTTATCATTATGTTTTATTTTGTTATAATTTAGTCACTACTGTTATGCTATTTCTTTGAAAATCGTCATTGATCTTTATATTATTTCATTTTAGTCACTAATGGGTTCTGCTTTGTTATTTTATTTATAAATTGGATGTTGTAGTTTTAATTTATGCATATTGGTCACCATTGCATACTGCTTATTAATTATTTTTGTCATTGACTTCTCATTTTGTTTTATTTTAATATGGTCTCCATTTGTTAAGGTTGCAACTACTCATATATTCGATATGAATACTTAGTAAGTTTTTGTTATACCCGTATATTTTCAATAACATTTATAGTAGAATGGGCGTAAAAAGCACAACTTGATAGAAGTAGTGTGATCAAGACGACATTCGAACGAAAAGTAAACTTGAAATAAATCGAGTTTATTTTGAGTAAAATTGTACATTCTTATATTCTTTTGATGATTGTTTTTTTTTCAAACTCACTTTAAATAAAATAAATGTATTTCTAATTTTCCTACTTTCTACATTTAAACCGATAGTGCAAAATTCTTAGGGTGTTCGAATAAGTTGATAAATTATTATTCCTTTTTTAGTTTATATAAGGGAAATATACATGATTTATTTTCTTTAATAGCATTGTTTCATTTTTTATTCGACATTTCATCGTACAAATATTCGACTTATATATTCTTGTTACCAAGAATAAAGAGAGGGCATTCTTTTATAGAGAAGAAATCCATGAGATAACATTCTTAGTAGTTGGAGTGCAAATCCCTTGGTCTTAAATATGGAACGTTCTTTATTAAATAATTCGAAATAAATTAATCAATGTTCAATAAATGAATCAAAATTTAATTTTCTATTCGAATTTATAATTTCCACCACCACGACAACAAACAAGCGATTAGGTACCAATTTTTGGGCGTTGTGGGGTGCTAACTCTTCCCCATGCGTAATGGACTCCCAATCCTAAAATAAATCTTTGAATCCCGTGGTCTTTTCTCATAATATGGAATGTTCTTTATTAAATAATTCGAAACAAATTAATCAACGTTCAATAAATGGATTGGAATTTAATTTTTTATCCGAGTTTATAATTTCCACCACTACAACAACATACAAGCGATTAGGTACCAATTTTTGGGCATTGTGGGGGTGCTAACTCTTCCCCATGCGTAATCGACTCCCGAACCTAAAATGAATATTTGAATCTCGTGGTCTCTTCTCGGAATATGGAATGTTCTTTATTAAATAATTCGAAACAAATTAATCAATGTTCAATAAATGGATCATAATTTAATTTTCTATTCGAAATTATAATTTCCACCACCACGACAACATACAAGCGATTAGGTACTAATCTTTGGACGTTGTGGGGAGCTAACTCTTCCCCATGCGTAATCAACGCCCGAACCTAAAATGAATATTTGAAAAGCGCATACCAGTTTTTTGTCTTAAAAATGATTTTTTCTTAAAATTGTTTAAAAGACGTTTTTGGGGTGTTCTACCTACCTAACCCAAATGTCTACCTAACACAAATGTCGATGGTGACTTTAAATCAATTTAATCAAAATAAACAAAAAAATCAATTTTTCCCAAATAAGTCATAAATTCGAGGTTTTCATCAAAAACTTATTCGTTCATCAAAAAAAGACATTACGACAAATATTATAAATATATTTTATAATTTTAAATTATATTTTATTTATTAAATAACATTATAATGTGAATAAATATGAATATATATATATATATTATGGTTAGAGAAAATCAAAAAATAGGAATTAATTCTTACCATAATACTATAAATAATTATAAAAAAATTGTATAGAAATTCGAATAACTCGAATCGATTTGAAAAATGTTCAAGTTAAGTTCAAATTACAAAATACGACTCGTCAACTCAAATAACTCAAAATTTTTTGACTCGACTAGACTAGATCGAACCTAAAAAAAGTAAAATACAGGACATGACAGAGCGACCAATGGAAAATTTGTGTCCCATATATCCCCTTAAATTTAAATTTTGTTTTAAATCAAATAATTAAAAGAAATTGAATTCTCACCTTCCCAATTTTAATAATTATAATATTGTGTGTTGAATTTTATACAATTGAATATGATAAAATATGAAAATACATATACTATTACGGTGAAAAAATTTGAATAGATTTAAAATATATATATATATATATATTGTTATGAAATAATTTAAACGAAGCAATAGAAAATATGAAGAAGCAAAAATTGAAGAATAAGAAAAGAGGATCGTATTATTATCTCAATTTGAGTTGTGTATAATGCTTTCTCTAATTCTCTATATTTATAGTCCTAAGTAGTAGATGTAATATACATCTCTAATACTAATGGATATTAGAGACCTAATGATAATGTACATCAAAATCATAACTTATAAATAAAGATAGACATTCACGTAAATAATTATTCATAATTTTTTTTATAATGGGTTATTCAAAACACTTGGATTCAATTTGATAAAACTATAAACATAACGGACTTAACAAGTTATTTTATCTTTTTTATAGCTGTTAAGGTAGCGAGTAATTGTGAAACTGAATAGAAGCCAGGGGAGAGACCAAAGTTTTCAAATACAAAATAGTACATGGATTCAATTTAGTAAAAATAAAGTACAGGGAACAGTTTTTAAATTTTGAAAAGTATAAGGACATTTGGAATATTTAAAACTATAAGTTATACGGTATATAAACAAGCATCAGATTTCATTATTAGTCTTTGTACTGCGCATAAATAGTGATTTAACCCTTATACTCTAGCTTGGTCAAATTCAGTCCTTACACTTTTCAAATTTTAAAATTCCAACCATGATCCAAAATTCCAAATAATACATGGACAATATGACTAACTTACACTTAAAATGATCAAATTGAAAAACAAAAACTAAATCTGCAACATCTACGAATTCCAACTAATAGTATAATATGACTTAACAGATTTAACAATTATTATTTTAGTCCTTGTATTTTTTTTTAAAATTTGATAGTTGAGTCATGGATAGACAATAACTATTAAATACATTAGGTCGAATAATGTTATTAGTTCTTGTACTATGTTGAAGCTATACATTTAGTCATTGTTCTCTAATTTAATCATTTTTAGCTTGAGGATATAACGGTTATTGTTGGAGTTAAGATTACAATGTCAAATTGAAAAATTTAGGGTAAACTACGTCAAATACCACTCATCTTTAAGCTCGGGCTCGAAAATGTCACTGATGTTTTAATTTTGCCAATTTTAGCACGGACGTTTATGTTTCATTGCAATTTTGCCACTCCGCCGTTAATCCGTTAACGGGACGATGATATGACATCTTTGTTCCGTGACGGCGATGGCATGACTCCCTCATCAAAACGACGTCGTTTTGGCACGACCGTTTTGATGCTCAAAAAGCTCAAAACGACGTCGTTTTATTGATGAAAAAAATGTTTTTCATGGGATTCAAACCGTAGACCTTTAGAATCCTCTTAACAAAAGTATTATAAATGTTCATCACTACCACCGTCACCCTTATTATCTTCCTCCATTCATAACACTTCTACTACTATTTTTCAATCATTTTTATGACAGTTGAAGGAACACATTATTGCATTGCACACATGAAAATCCAAAGGAAATAGTTATTGTCAGATCCTTGAATCCATTGCTATCACGCTGCTTAGATTCATGGGGTGCATGTACTCATTAGATCCAGTCATTATTTGCTCCACAATCAATCTGTTAGCCTTCTCTGATGGATGGATCCCAAAACGCATACACAGCTCTGTTCGGACACAGGTTCGACAGCTGAGTACACAGACCGAGCCCGTTGTAAGGTCCTTATCCACAACACGGTATCTGCGATGTTACGAATCCTGTTCCAACCATCACGACATTGATTCAAGTTAAACCCTTGTTTTAAAAGAAATAATTAGGAGCAAGGAGAGTACCGAAGGCTCGAGGGTCGCTAACGAAATCGCTGTGCATCCTCTGAGTATTTGCACTGACGAAGACATCTTTGCCTATATGCTTGTTGAGTCCATTTAGCATCTGAACAAGTTGAGGATTGTACAAGGACGCAGCACGTTGTAGTTCTTCGGAGCATCCGCCATTGGTGCCACGCATAGCCAGTTCCGCTGGAATACAACCCATCGGTCCCGTGCCCGTCACTAGAACCCTGCGTGCTCCAGCCTCGTATAGCGTCTGCAATAGAAATGAAGTTTTTTTAAGAAAAAAAATGAATTCTAGGTTCTGATGTTGAAGATAATGATTGAAAAATAGTAGTATGAAGTGTTATGGATGGAGGAAGATAATGAGAGTGACGGTAGTAGTGATGAACATTTATAATAGTTTTGTTAAAATTATACTAAGTTCTTAAGTTAGCTTGATGGTTAGGTATTTAGTTTTAGATTCTAAAGGTTTACGGTTCGAATCCCATGAAAAATATTTTTTTTTATCAACAAAGCGATGTCGTTTTGAGTTTTTTGAGCATCAAAGCGATTGCACCAAAACGACGTCGTTTTGATGAGGGAGCCATGTCATCGCCGTCACAGAACAAATATGCCATGTCATCATCCCTTTAATCGATTAACGGCAGAGTGCCAAAATTGCAGTGAAATATAAACGTTCATGTTAAAATTGACAAAATTGAAACGTCAGTGACATTTTTGAGCCCGAGCTTAAAGATGAGTGGTATTTGACGTAGTTTACCCAAAATTTATTAAAATTATAATATATGAACTAAATCTATAATTTACATATAGTATAGGGACTAATAACAAAATTTGGCCACAAATAATTGTTTAATTCACATAAATTATTCTTAAAATACAATGATGTCGAGTCTCCTAATGCAAACAATATTACATATAGAGATTGGCACGAGTCGAGTTGGGTCGGGTTTTTTGTCCACCCAAGATTCGACCAAAATAAAATTTCACCCGACTCAACCCGAAATAATAATAAAATATTATTTTTATTCAATAAAAACAGTGACATAATTGAAAAATAATAATATACAGAGAGGTATTATTGTAATTATTCTTAAATATATAATGTAAAATTATATTATGTATATTTTTCACCCTAAAACCTAACTAAACCGGACCAAACCTAACCCAATCAGAATCGAGTCGGAATTCATCAGATTCGGATCCATGCCCATCCCTAATTACATATCTAAATTATATTATGTATATTCAAATTACAACAAGATCTCCTTCTAAATCATGAATATATATATGCGAATTTCCAGGATCTTCAAACTGGAATAAACAGAGGAAAAAAGAAAAGCAAATTTCTAAGCCAATCAAAACTGGAAAACAGAAGCTGTATATCGACAACAAATATTATATCAAGGAACAATCAGAGGATGCCTTAGTTCCTCTTGGGATGCTCTCTTGAAATAGGCATACAAGGCCAATTGTGCAGTCCCCAGCACTGTTCCAATTCCATTAGGAACCTGCATCGATGGCAGACAATTTTCACAAACAAAGAATCAAAGATTGAAACACTGGAAAAAATATGAGGGAAAAAAGTTTTTCAAAAAGGGAACTTACGTAGATGAAAGCGTCACGCTTGAGCATTCCATAGAGAGAGAAAGCTAGACTCATCAAGAATGTCGCCAAGGAGAGCGACAACGGCATGTACTCGACGCTTCTCATTTTGATCACCAGGTTCTGGAAAAGAAAACGGATGAGATACGGGATTCCGTCGGAAAATCGGAAGAAGGCGAAAGCTTTTAGTGAGCTTACAATGATGAGTAGAGGGGAGGCGAACATGGAGATTAGGGACGCGACGCTCAAGTATCCGACGAACAACTGCCGTGTCGGGGAGTCGAAGAACTCGAGGCTGACGAAGACGATCGAAGCGAAGAAGGCGAAAACCGATACCAGGAACCCGAGCATCTTTAACTTCATCGGATTTTCGGCGTATGCAATGAAGATGGCGATGTACACCATTTGGAAAGCTGCCCCAATGGAATTGACAGTTGCCACCAGGATGATACCTGGGGAAACAATGGGAATACCATACCAGAGACAAATCAAGCAGTTGAGGAGAGCATATATATATGGCATCCCTGAGAATTGTTCTGTTGAACCATTTCTGATAATTCTCCTAAATGTTGGTCTGAGAAACAACAAACACAAACAAATTTCAATTTCTGCAAATAAACATCGCAGATTCAACATTTTGTGCATTGTTTTTGGAAATGAACTTACATAGGTGACAAGAACAGCACAAAAGCAAAGATGTTTCCTGGAAAATTTTGGAAAAATCAACAGATCAGCAAAGCCTAGGACTTGATGAACAAGAAAACCCTATACCAAAAATCATCTTCATCTCTGAGAACATCAAAATAAACCCAGAAATCCCCATCATGTATATCTAAAAACTATGATTTAAACAAAGATGGAAAAGGAAAACCCTACCTGCAACCCCAGCTGCATCACTGCAGATGGAATAAACAGAAGATATCACTGTTAAAGACATGTCCTCTTGCAAATAAACCCCAGGAGAGAGCTTGTTAATAATATAAGACAGTGCTACATGATAATTGATAAACCAAACGTGGGAAAATAAAGATTTCTGATGTTTTCCTCCTATTGGATGGAATTTAATACCACATGTAATCAACTTATCATTGTCCAATTGGGTTTTCTCTTCTCTTTGTCGTTTTTCGTTTTTGAACCATATTCACATATTATAATATTTTTAAATAAAGTTTCGAGTTTGAATCTTGTAGGTAAAATCCGGGTCGATTCGATGTACATATTAGCAAGAATTAAGTGATAATTTGATGCAGAACACATGTTTTTGCATGCAAATCAAGCCACTGGAAAGGAAAAAAGTATCTGTTTCCTTGGATAAAGAAGGGTTGGGTTGCTGAAGATATATGGTGTAGAACGAAGATCAATATTACTGGTGTAGAATTGTAGGCAGAGATTCAAGTGGGAGGCTTTGATTTTTTCTTTTAGCAGGCTGTTCCTGATGTTGACACGTTTTCTGATATGTCGCTGTCTATTTATGTAGGCCACGTGTTTTACACGTATATAGTTGTATGTTTTGGGTGTCTTTTTCTTTAATATACGTATCTGATGCCCTATTAAACTGGATATGCGTTCTGGAGCTGATTGTAGAGATAGGAATGGTGGTCTGAGTCAAATTGATGGTTCAATTGCGTCACAAGAAGAACGACGGGGAATTGGAGAGCCTAAAATATAAGATTGAAAAATAATATAAATAGGTTGTAATTAAAAAAAATTCAGAAATATAATTTTATGTTTTGAAAGGGGTAATATTTTCAGTTGAAATAAAAAAAAACATTATATTTTTATAATATTGGATTGTAATCAAAATTATTATAAATTATATAATTTTTTAGATTATAAATCCTAAATCCATCGTAATGTAACTTAATAATGTTATAAATTCTACAATTTTTTAGGTTAAATAATATAATATTTTATGTTAAAAATTATTTTAAATTAGATTGTCGCACAACGTAATTATACAAAAACTTTATTATACGAAGTTCAGAACTTAACCAAGTAAGACGAAATTAAAATCAAACATGAAAAGAAAATTATCAAAATTATAAAAAAAAAAATAGAGATGGGTTTTCTGCAATGTAGTTTCAGTTGTAAAAAAAGCAGCAGCAAAATTTAGGCATAAAATGTATTAAGTTCCCATTTCATCTCAAATCAAAGCTTTCTGAGTTTATTTCACTTTGTTTAACAACGAAAGATGGTGTGGATGAAGGAAAGGTTTATTCCTTTGGTTTTGTCCTTTCTAACATTGGCGCATTGTTTTCTGATCCTCTAGGCACATTGAGTATTGTATGCATTCATATTTCACCCTCAATTGCACACAAACTAATCACGGTAAGTAACAAATTCTGAAGGACATCATTACATTTTCTAGAAGGAATCAATGTTAAAAGGTCCTTTTATGTTATACTGTTGTTTCTTTGTTGACATGGTCGACTGTGGAAGGTCTTGAAGAGGGAGAATATATGTTAATGTTGTGGCACCTTATGAGGCAGATGCCCAAATGACTTTCTTGGCTATCAGCAAACTGGTCGATTCAGTTATCACCGAGAACTCTGATCTTATCCCCTTTGGCTGTCCTAGAGTGAGTTGTGTATCTATTAACTACTTTCAACAACATACTACAGTTTCTCCAATGTTTACGAGAAATTCTTTTTTATCCATCTTTCAGGTTATACTTTTAAGGCCCATATCCTTAATAAATCATAGGATTAGTTAAAAAACTTATTAGTCTATTGAGAAACACTTTAAATTCCAATACCCCAACAAATAGCTCAAGGCATAGCAAGAGGTGATCTTGATCCATTTACGCAGATGCCATTTCAGGTAATTGTTCTATTTAGTATTTGAATTCTATATTTTTTCTTTCATAATTTCCACTATCTGGCGATTGTTCCTGACTACTTGGTCCTCTAACAGGGTGTCAATGATAGTTCTCGGCTAGTGCCCGACAGAAATTTACAGCTGAAAAGTTTTAAACCTGAGAGTGAAAGAAAAAGGCTGGATTTGCCTGTGCAGAAGAACCTTCTGACCAACTATTTCTGTATCCCCTGATGTTACTTTCTCTTAGCTTTGATTTATGACATATTTAGGGGGGAATTTGCTTTTATATGGAATGAGCATTATTCAGTTATCATGAAGCTGTCTAGATGTTTAACATATTAAAAGAGTACAAATGGTGCATCTTCTCATGGTAGAGAATTCTCTGTCATTTTAATCATCTCTCTCAGGAAAATTGGACAGTTTATGTTCTCTGTGTTACACAGTCCTGACATGATCTTCCTTCCTACCTGTCTATTCTTTCTAGCAAATAAGACATATAATTGTGTCCTTTATACTATGTATCTATTTGATAATTTCTCATGTTCGAAGAAATCTATTCATTCTTCCATAAGGGTTATAAAATGGCAGTGTCTAGGGAAATAACTTTCCATTATGACAGAAAAGAGTAAAAAGGCTAGAGAGCATTGAGACTTTAGGAGAAATATGGAGCTAAATGATTGTTATAAATGTATGGAAATGCCAAAGCCAATTATCTATTTAAACTAACTCTTAATAGTTATATCTAATTGATTAATTGCCTTTCTCACCATATTTCATCAGGGCGATTCTTCTTTGTCTTTATTTGTATGTTGTTGTTACTTAACAACTAAAGGCTTTGCATCTCTTGAAGAAAAAAGAAACTTCAAGGCCCCTAGGGTATCGCATAAGCATTCAAGTCTGGTTGCTAATTCTTCTACCAGTCCTGACAAACATGTTACTCTGGAGGATGCTTCTTGCAAAATTGATACACTGTTGTCAACCTCACTCGAGTCAAAGAATACTAACAACATTGTGAGTGATGCGAATGAGAGTTACATTTAGTTCATTTAAATAGTTGTAAATTTTTCTTACGCTTTCTGCCTCAATTTCTTCAGGAAGAAAATGTCTTCATTTCCGAGCTTTCTGAGAATGCAGAATCTCCAAATCCTGGTAAAGGTACATATCTGATAGTTTGATATATAATTTTACCATGAGTTAAATGCTTACTTTGTGTGCTCATGGATATAGAAGCCAGGTTTGATGAGACGAGAAGCCCTAACCGTGTGTTGCCTCAAGAACCTGATCGGCCAAAACATAGACCTTCTCCAGCTTTACCTGAGCATAATTATAGTACTCGTGCACGTGCGGCTAAAAGTAAAACAATAACAGATAGCAAAAAGAGCATTGTAAGAAGTCGTTACTTTCAGAAGAAGCAAGTTGACACAAATGATCAGGAAGATAAGCAAGCAAAATTTTGTTGCAAGGATGATAATACCATTCGGTTCCCTGAGAGTAGCAATCCCGATAGTTATGGGAATAACTATTTTAAAGGAATGGTTTCGAAAAGAAAAAATTCCTCACTTGAATACGATGAACCGGTCGGTGCTTTCACTTTCCTTTTTAAGGTTTTATTAATCTCACTATTGCTTTTTCTTGTGTTTCCTGATTAAATTATTTTGCTATTCTTAGGAAAATGTGAATCCCCAGCAAATCTACATGGATGCATCCCATGATGATACTGGTACCTGTTAATCACAATGACTCATAATGAGCAAATTTGCTGTTCTTCTTTATGGATTGATAAACTTATCTCGCTTAGTGCTAAACTTATATGGCTGTCATGGTCCTAATCTTGAAACGTTTGCGGAGACAAAAGCTAGAGGCAAAATTTGGATCCAACATTTCACATTTAGGCCATTACTCAAACGTAGCGGAGAAATCCATGGAAAGATTTGTTTCAGTAATATCATCATTTAGATTCTCATCACCCGGTTCTCGTGCCAGCGGTCTTCGAGCCCCTTTGAAATATGCTCCGAACACATGTATCAATAGGTAAACAGAGTTAAATCTTTATCTTTGCAGAGATTTCATTTTAAGTTTATATTCCAAGCTTTCATCAGTTAAAACTTGGTTTTATGCATTGAAGGTCATCTGCTGCTGTAGATATTAACCAGTTTGCGTACATACCGAAAAACTAAAAGGCCACATTGGCAACTCGGAGGTTTTGAGTTTCGGGAAATATTTCCTCGGCATTGTAAGCGACATCCTCGGTAAGGGTTTCAAACCTGCCAGGGTACTTGTGATTCTGGACTGCTGACGAGTTCAAGGAATTGCAGCCAGCAGGATTGTTATTGTTCATTTATATGGAGCTCTCCTGACTGAATAAAATGCCAACAACGTTGGTTTTGCAGATGTTATTGTTCATTAAAATTGCATTCTTGGCTAATATAATACTGTACAATTTTCTTATACTGGTCATGAGATCGTGACAACTGTGCAAGGGCCGTGAACTTACGGTGGTGGTGATTTTCTATTCACCGGCGACTATTATGTGGCGTACTATAATTGAGAAAAGGGTTATAATGAGTTGTTAGAAGGGTAAATTACAAATTCCATCACTACTTTCTTTTCACTTTTATTTTGGTCATTAAAGTTTAAAATTTTTCAATTTACTTACTGAACTTTTGATTTACTCTTATTTTGATCAATGTGTCGTAAAATATTTAATAGCATTATAATTGGATTTTTTTTTCTTACAAATTATGGGTCAAAGCTTTCTTATTTTTTGTGTGAAAAATCTCACCGTTTCAAATTTCCTTTGATTTCTTGATGATGAAGCATTTTCTTTCAAATTTCAATGGTGGTGAGGTGGAGGACAAAACGAGTCGTATAACTTAATTTCACATTTATTGGATGGTGGATATTATAAACTATAGTGATTTTATGATTCATTGTGTATTGAGTTTGGTGATCAGAGTGATTTGTCCTTGATTTGAAGCTTGAATCTCAGTGACGTCAATTGACCTATTAAAAAGGTTTTGAATAATTAATAAATAGAGCTAGAAATCATTCCAAAAACTAAAAGAGAACGTAAAACAAGTTTGATACCCAAATTCCAAGGCTTACGTGCAACCATTCTCTTAATCCCAAACCAAACAATCCTTTGGATAAGCTTGGTATTTGGTAGCAACAAGTCTCTGCAAACCCACTTTTCGTCCATTGATAGGTTTAAAAGCTGAAGAACAAATGGGAGAAGTATAGTATAAGAAGCCGTAAATGGAAACCTTGACGTTAAAGTATAATAAAAAATGGTTGAGAGAGTGCAGTCCAATGATATTGAGTAGCCCAATTAACAAGAAATGCTTTGCGGCACGTATCTCTCTCTCTGCCTTTCATGTTCATATTTATCTTTATCTTTACTTAGCTGACTATACAAATCATAGGCTGGTATGGTATCTCTTCTTCTTCTTCTTCTTTTGAGTGCTTGACAGCAACGTTTTCCTCAAACCAACTGCTTGCAATATATATTCTTTTGGTTTCTGTATAGATTCAATTTATATTATTGTAATCCAAATTATAATTACATAATGATTTAATTCATGTATTATTCTCATATCTTATTAGCCAAGATAATGCCCTTATCCTTGTGATAAAGGAACTCATGAAGCGATCGAGAATGGGACATTCAAATTTAAGCATAATAAAAATAGTAACCTAAATAGATTTATGTCCAACTTATACAAGTTATGTTGGCCAAAGTCTCTGTTTTGAAAACCGGACCGGCCGGTTCAACCGGGAACCGTTGCTTAGTCCGGTTCAATCTAAACCGGTTGAACCGCTACTAGTGAACCGGCTAGAACCGTTGAACCGTTCGAACCGGACCGGTTGAAAACAGAGAAAAACCGGAAAAAACCGGGAATTTTATTTTATTTTATTTAAAAAATTAAACCAAACAACGTCGTTTGTTAAACGAGCCAAGTCGAACTCGAGTATTGCTGAGCTCGACTCGAACTTAAAAACTTTAAAAGTAAGCTCAACTCAACTCAAACTCACAAGCTAAAAATTATCAAGTTCAACTCAAACTCGAAATATAATATTGAAACTTGAACTCAAAAAGGCTTGAACTCAAAAAAAAAATTAGAAGCTCGATTGAAGCCTAAAATTCGAGCTTGATTGAAGTGAAAGAATAGTTCACTCAATGCTCACCAAAAGGCTCCATGATTTTGAATGCCAAATTACCTCTATTATTTATAGAAGTTAGTTGTGATGATCTTCTATGTTTCTTAGCAATGTGAGATTGTTTTGTTCTCATATTTTTACTCTTTAGACTTTTGGGATGCTCTTCTATGTTTCTTAGCTATGTGGGATTGTTTTTTAAAAAAAAATTAAACCAAACAATATCATTTTGTTATGATTTTTTTAACCTCAAATTTATTTTTTAATTATAGTTATATAATTATATTTATTATTTAATATGTTTTATCTTAAATATTATGTTGTAGTTAATTTGAATCATTTTGTTTCACTTGATTTTTATAGTTTTTAACTTATATATGTTATGACTTGCTTTGAATATGACTTGTGATATAAAAAATTATTTTTTTATTAAATATTTTTGATATTTTTATTTAATTTTTTAAATAATTATGACGTCGTCCGATTCTTCCGACCGGTCTCAACCGGTTGAACCAGTGAACCGGTAGCATGACCGGTTCGTTAACCGGTCCGGTTCTGAAAATCATGGCCAAAGTCAAATCGAGAATGTAATTAAAAAATGCAATTAAAATTATAGAATCCTTGTAATAATTACGACAAACAGGTTAAATTCTTACCTAATTGATTTGACAAAGTAAATTTAATTAGTCAACTTATTTGCAAATAATCCATTTTGCATCCTAACGACCACACACTTTCAGCTCAAATATTCAAAACAATTAAAGATTATTTTTATTAAAATAATAATAAAAAGGGGAGATTTGTTTTTAAAGTGTCTACGGCTATGATTCGACCCACGCGAGCTGATCTCATACGTGGCTTCGTTATCAATTCCATCCTTATCCAATTAATATTATTTTAATGAAAAATATATGAAAATTATTTTGGGTTCAAATTCATGAAGTTTTCACTTTGGTATAGTTGTCATCCAGATTTTCAACGAAAATAAAATAAATAAAACAGTGGAGTGTAATATGCAATTGCAGATTATTAAATGATTGAATAAGATATATCAATTGTGATGCGGTCGTAATTTTAATCAATTTCAAACCATATTGATCATATTTATTGTGATATGAATTGCAGTTCACATGAATAATTGCTAAATTTAAAATCTTGTATGTATTTGTAGAACAATTAATCCTATAAACCAATACAATGTTTGATTAGCGAAAAGAAAACATAGATCTCATCAACTCTATTGTCGTCTTCCAAAACACGCAGTAGGCTGTCAGAAATAGTTAGCTGAGTTTTCTTTACGGTTCTTTTCTCACAATCAAAGAAAAACCAGCTGTTCCTGTTGGGACTTGGGACTATGTCCATTTCAAGACAAAAACTCCAACTGTGTTTTCCTTTTTTTTGGAATGGCGGTGCTGCTGCTGGGATTTTGCAGAATTTAATCATTGCACGAAAACGACAGATTCCCATAGAAGAGTTCTGATTTGATTGTTGATTATGTGAATTAAGAATCAACAGAGAAAACCCGGATGATAATTTAACGAATGAAACCGGGTTTTTCTTTTCGTTTCGTTTCTGAAATTTGGAAATGAAAGAGAAAGGAGAACGGAGGAGTATTTGACTATGCTTCCAAAAATCCAGTCATTCTGAGAATCGAATTCCGAACACGACTCAAATCCCTCCCTTTAAGCGTCCTTCCATTGCCGGTACAAACGGAAAACGCCACTTTCCCGGCAATTCTCCTCCCCGATATCACGTGCGGCGGCACCATTTCACCTTCCTCGATGCCTTCCTCCTCAAGATCGCCGCCGAAAACACCGTCGCGATGATGACGCGGAATGTTGACGGGAAGCGAACCGGCAGCTACTTTCTTCTTCTTCTGCTTCTTCTTCTTGGATTTTTCCTTGCGTGAAACGCCGGCGTTTCTGGAGAATCCTACTCGATGATCGAAGTAGCCGCCGTCATCGTCTTCTTGGTGAAGACGTGTGGCGTAAATGTCGCTGGTGTTGTCGGAAAATATAACCTCGGACTCTTGGAATTCTTCTGCGGCCATGACGAGATCTGATTGATTAGATTTTTGTAGTAAAAGTTTTTTTATAAACGAAAGAAGAGATTGATTGAATGGTTCTTTTCGGAACACAAAACAGTGAAGGAAAATGAAAGTAAAAGGAAGGGAATTTATAGGTGCGAATCTAAACCGTACTCATTACTCTTATTGATTGTAATGTTCATGTTGCCCTAGATGACGTCTACAAATGCATCTAATGGGTCCCACTCCTTTTTAATCATCTCTATTAGATTAATCAATATATTAATCTCGATCGAGTATTGTACAAGTTTATTTATGAGATGATTTTTTTTAATTTAATTTATTATATTCACAATATCAAAATTTGATCTTCTGACTTTATTCAAATGGTCTCGTATCGTATTCTACTAGATCAATTAATTTTTAATAGTTTCGTCCAATGATGGACATAGATGGGTGACCAGAGACAATTACTCCTTACAAAATTTAAATTATCGTATAATTTAAACATTTTTCACTAAAAATATATTTTTGATCTTAAAATTTTATAAATTCACTCTCTAATATAAATATTCTTTATTTATCATAATCTCACTCTTTTAATAATAAAAAATAATTTATTTTCAAGTTGCGAATAAAATATTTTTTATTTATTTAAACTAATCGATGAATAAGTGATATATTAATTATTATACTATATTTTAAATATTTAGATAATATGATTAGACCTTTTATTTTTTTATATTTGATGAGTATTTAGTATTTTTCACCCTAAAATACAGTATTATTAATATGATATTGTCCACTTTCATCAATATATGTTTTGGCTTATGATTGTTTCTTTCTGATTGTTTAAGTTATGAGTCGGCTGCCAAACGGGTTAGCATTTTATTAACTCTTATTGTCACGTTATATATTATATTTAAGGGTATAGTCCACAAATAGTCTCTTTACTATACAATAATGTTTTATTGAGTCTTTTTATTATTAAAATTTATGAAATAGTTTATCGATTATAGGGTGTTATTTTTTTAAGTTATTCGACTACTAAAAGTTACAAAAGATCACTCGGCTATTTATATATTTCAATCTCGTCGTTTTCTGTTACAAATTGATATTCATCTGAGTTGGATGCTAACTTGTTAATTGGGATATGATAACATCATATTTTAATGATGTCTACTGGCACCGCCGTTACTTTCAAGCGCTGGCTCAACGACATAATGTTTCAAGCACTAGCTCGACGACGTATGTAAGCGAATTCTTGATCCACAAAATACAACTTTGAGATAAGATTTTATTATATCTCAATCTAATAGGTTAACGTCAAGCTTAAACGACTATAAATTCTTTAATAAAATAGGACGAGTTTAGAACATATGTATAGTCGAGTGACCATTTTATAACTTTAAATAGTTAAAGAACTCAATAAAACAACACCCTATAGTCGGCGACTCAACAAAATAACATCATATAATCAGAATATCATGTGTGTACTCTACCTTATATTTAATTAAAAATAAATGGTTTAAGTCACGATTTAGTCCTTGAAGTATATCATTTTTCATTTTGCACTTTAAAATATATTTTTTATTTAGTTTACCCTAAAAATTAGAGTCGTCCAATAGTAACTTACCACTTGATATCATATAAGTTGATGTCGGAGCTAATTTGTTTATTTTTGGAATCGAGAGGGAAGTAAGGAGTCGTTAAAACAAAACAAAAAAAATTAAGGGGTCATGGATTAATTTGTTTAATTTTACATTGATAAGGATCTATGAATAATTAAACTAAAAATATTTTGGGCAAGGCCCCTGCTATTACAAAAGAAGCCGAGCCAAATGGGAAGCGGCTTGGCTGAACCGAGCCAACAACAATGGTTGAAACTAATAAATTTACAATTCAAAATATAAAAGGCGTAAGTTTAAAGTTAAAAGTCCGTCAGCTCGGCGTAACCCACGGCTTATGCGGCGCATAAGAGGTGGTACCATGCGAGTGAGGTCCACCAAGCTACCCCATCAGATGATTTGCGAATAAGACAAACCAATTATATAATGACACGTATGAGTGACGTCAACTGGTGTGCAAAGGGAAACACGAGGGCCAAAGAGGAATCTCATTATTCCCTGACCCCGCTTAGGTGCCACGTTGCCAGCCGTTGTTTTCGTGCAAGTAATTAATTACTATTAAGAAGAAAACTCAATAATCCTATAAAGGGATAAGACAAAGACTCCCAAGCATTTGTGATTTGTTAGCAACCAAAACAAGAGGTGTTATAGCGTATAGGTTCGGGTTCGGCTTTGGGTTCGGGTTCGAGTAACTACGTTTGAATTTATATTTTTTTAAAATATAATAATAATGATAATTTTGTGAATTGAGTTAAGATTAGAACATCTGATACTTAATTTCAAATAAGTTTGTGATATTTTGATACATAAATTTTGCAATTTTTCTCAAGTTAGTATAGTTTTTAATCTCAAAATAATATAAGTAAAAAGATAATATATTATGAATAATATTTGTTGTTATCTCTTGAAGTTCAGTGTTCGAACATCGCATCATTGTAAAAAGACCCATTATATTGATATATGAAATTAATAGTTGAAATGGTAGCAAGGCCCAATACCAAAGTCTAGTGTATTAGCATAACATATAGAAGGCTTAAAGTTGGGCACTTGACGTACACATTCTCTTTTCAAAGAAAATGACCCCAAACTATTTCTCCCTCCATTCATTGTATATTATCTATATTTTTTCAATGTATTTATGATATCGAACCAAGAATCTCGTCTATGAAAATTTTGATTAAAATTCTTGATTTGTGAGAGTTTGTGTCACGGCATTAGGCTACCTAATCATTGGAACAATTTGAATTTTGATTAAAATTTTTTTTATTTGTGAGGGTTTATGTCACGGTATTAGACTACTGAAAGCTTTTAATCACGAGTTTGTTTACATTTAATGGCCGATTAACACTTAGCAATGATAGATCTAAAAATATTGGCCGATTAACACTTAGCAGTGATAGATCTAAAAATATTTATAAGAGTGGATATATAATTTTTTTCTCGTATAAAATAGATACAAATAAAATTTTATGATGGGTATCATTTAAAATAAACAACTAATATAAAAAAAATCTAAATTTCAAAACGAGAAACAAACGCTTGCATCCGTGACTTACGTTTAGGGGAGGGAGAACCTATGCAGCGGGAATGTGGAATCCTTGTTATACGTGCACCAGAATCTATAATGATAAGAGTGCATGCTTATTTGGACTAATATTTTCACTCGAACCTATTAGAATAAAGTCTCGAAGATTCAAAGCATATATATTGTGAAGTATAATGTGAGTGAATTCTTAAAAGGTTATGACTTTTCTCCCTCTGATGTTTAAGATTCGAGGTCGAATCTTTTTGAAGAGAGGGGGGATGATACATGCACCACAAGGCTCACATTAAAGGAAGATGGACTAAATCTTCCAATTGATCTGCATGTCCAAGCCTAGGAAAAGAAGACCAAAACACCAGCAGACTTGCAATGACTTTTTGAATAGGATTCATGTGTTATTTGGTCGACATGTCTTCTGAAGATATGACTGAATGTTTCTTTTCTTTCCAAAAGTACTTGAATCGCATCAATCTGATGTCGGAAACTCAAGTTACATCAATTTTATTGAAGACAACGCATGCATAAAATCCTATAGGAGATTAATACATGATTTTATAAATATTATGGATTTTTAATATTTTTATTGATTATTTGTAATATAATTAATATAGCATGATGTGTTATCTTTTAGGATTAGATTTATTATTTTATTAGGAATTAGGATAGAATCGGAATATTATCTTTATTCATTAGTCATGTTACAACAAGGATTCATCCCCTATATAAAGAGGCTTCATTCAAATTTGTAAATCAGATTTCTCTTATTAATAATATAACTAGAGTTCGTTTTTGCAAGTGACAGTTGCCTTGTGCCTTCGAAGCATTCTTCATCATTAAGTCCTTTCAAGTTCTTCGTGAGGGAGATCTTCACATTCCGGTTTGCCTTCTCATTGCGATTAGAAGGGTTGGTTAGAGTCAATTATCAAGTTTGCCTAGTCAATTGCAACTAGGAGGGTTCGTAGGACAAATATCAATATATCTTCATTGTCACCATCATCATCCCACGACAATTACATCACCATAGCCATCTTCACATGCTAGGAGGAACTTTCAATTCAAGTTCTTCATATCTTTATTATCTTTTCGTAATTCTTTTACATGTTTATCATCTTTATTGTATTATTTTCCTAATCATCATCTCTTGTTTAATTTCCAGCAAGCTTCCCATTCAAGAAACCCTAATTTGCGACAAAAACTCTAATTACATGCAATCTCATTCTTTGATTGAGTCGAGATCCATAAGCTTGATTCTTTGACTTCGAGTAACGTTCATATCAATATAAACTGTTAGAATTAATTCCACCCTAATTAATAATTATTCAACCCTATTCTCATCGTGAACATTTTGATGCCAATAATGCATGTGGAACTCGTAAAACTGAGTCAGCAAGTACACAACTAAGTTGAGGTGCACATGCATGTTACTTTGTATGAATCAGCCCATCCTTCATTAAATCCGGTCATCTACCACCATTCATCACTTTCATTGCTTCATTTTTCAACGACGTAGACCTTTGCGGGATAAAATTCTTGAATCTTGACCTTGATATATCTACGTTTTGCCCTCTACTATTTTTTTTCAAGTCTTTTAATATTCGATAATCATATCAGATTTCGATTATATTAAAAGTTAAATCAAATTAAAATTCTTCAAACCTTATACATCCGTGTGAATCATTTCTTGTTTTTTTAAAAAAAATAGATTATGATGATTATAAGATAATATATGTTTATAATATTTTTTAGCTATTGACAAACGCACACACACCTTGTAGACATAGTTACTTAAAATCAAGATCTCGAGAGAAAATAACATCTCATTTAACCACTAAAACTTCTACGTGTGAATAATCTCAAATCTTCAAACCTTGTACTAGTATATTATGTATGTATACATATAGGTCAAGCTTTTTAGGATCGACTTTGCAAGTGTTCTTTTCCCCATG